TGACCCTTTGACCTTGACATAGAAGTTTGAACTACTTTTGAAAAACTTTTACCTTGGCCATAATTTTTGAATGGTTGGTGCTAGGGCTTTCATACTTCACATATGTAAACCTTGAGACAAGAACTTCCTTTGGATACCAACCACTTTGACCCTTTGACCTTGACATAGGAGTTTGACCTACTTTCGAAAAACTTTAACCTTGGCCATAACTTTTGAATGGTTGGTGCTAGGGCTTTCATACTTTACATATGTAATCCTTGTGACAAGACCTTCCTTTGGATACCAACAACTTTGACCTTGACCTTGATGTTTTACTTACTTTTAAAAAACTTTAACCTTCGCCATAACTTTTGAACAGTTGCAGCTAGGACTTTCAAATTAAACATTTTATATCTTTTGGCCTGGATTTTGACTTGCATTTGAGAAACTTTAACCTTCGCCATAAGCTGCCATACGGGGGCATCAGTGTTTCACAAACACATCTTGTATGTTATGTTTTTGTCAGTTTTTTGTAAAAAAAAAATTCAAAAGATGTCGCCATCTGAAAACAGTTAAACAAGTATTGTTTATGAAGATATTTTATAATAACACTTGTATATGAACAATTTGATTTAGTGAAGTAATCTCAAAGATTATTGTAGTCTTTTTCACAATAAATTTTTAAACAAAATCTGACAATGCGTAATAAATTCTATACTTTGTTAATTTAGATTTACAATTTAGATTTACAAGAATTTTTCAAGAAATTTGGTTATTAGTGCTGTGTAGTTACATAGCTATATCATTTGCGACCGATATTGAGAAAGTGTATATACATGTATATAAAAGGATTATAATCGTATTTGTCAGAAGATATAGGCGATTTAAATTGCATTCTTTAACTTAAACTTTGGTAATTAATCCGAAATACATCTAGTCTCATCCTATTCTTTGGAGATGTATATGTTTGGTAACTTCTTGTATTTTCCATCAATGATTATTTAGAAATTCTATAACTTAGAAGTTGAATGCAGAAAACGGTGTATTATATTCTAAAACACGACTCTGAATGTCTCCTTTTTTTACGTATAGCTAAAAAATTCTCGGTACTTCAGTTTGCGAGAATTTTATAGAATGTGCATGTTGAAATGTTCATTAAGTCTGGTTCCAAACAATTCTGACAGCCAGAAAACTTGAGTTTATACCTTGACCCAAACTGAAAACTAGTTTGCAATAGATAAAATTTTCACGAAGTCACTCGCCAAACAATTTTGAATTTTAAAAAAATGTACATGTATATTCACATGGGCACATAGTACATACTAGTACTAGAGACTTTGTTTCCTTCATGTTTTCAGATTAAAAGTAACTTGATTTATAAAGATTTGATACGCTTAAAGAGACAAAAGTTGTAATGATTTTTGAGTGATATTGAAATCTTTTTGAAGACCCGCTATCAAAACAAAAATCGGTAGTAAATATTTTATTAAATATTGATTGCATGTTCAAAGAAAAATATTTTTTATGAAACCATAATTAAAAGCTAAGTAAACTGTAATAAATACTATAAAAATCAATAACCATTATCACGGAAGGCTAAAACACATAATAATGCAGATGATAAAAAAGAATTCTTAAATTAACTGTAAAATTATCGAAAAAATTTATAACATTTAACTATTTAACATTAAAGAGATCATTGAACTCAATATACCACCTTTTCCTATCGCATGGATGTAAACTTTGTAAGCTTCAAATAGATAAATAATGGTGAAAATAAGACCAAACAGATCCAGAAGAGACACAATCTTATATAGAGCTTCGATTTCGAATAATATGCCAATAGAGGCCTATATACGAAGTACTAAATCCAATATAGCAACATTAGTCTCGTACATCTCTGCTAAACTTTGCGTAATAACGCCTTTTGGAAAGGCGTAATAACACCTTTTGAAAAGGCGTAATAACACCTTTTGGAAAGGCGTAATTACGCCTTTTGAAAAGGCGTAATAACGCGTAATAACGCCTTTTTGAAAGGCGTTATATAACGATTTTTAGAAAGGCGTATAATTACGCCTTTTAGAAAGGCGTAATAACGTCTTTTGAAAAGGCGTAATAACGCCTTTTAGAAAGGCGTAATAACGCCTTTTTCGCGTTATTAAGCATTTTTTCGCGTTATTGCGCCTTTTCAAAAGGTGTTATAATGCCTTTTTTGGCGTTATTACGCCAAATTTTCGAAAGGGTTATAAAGCCTTTTAATATTTTTTCTGCATAGATTGATCCTAATAGGCTTTCGTAATTAAGAAAAAGTGTTTAAAAATTTATAAAAAAAAAAAAAAAAAAAGAAACAAAAGAAAAGAAACAAAACAAAACAACGGTGCCGGTAAGTGTAATTCAAAAATTTTGTAATGTATAACATATGCATAATTTGACCAGAGATATAATGTTACTTATATATCTGATTTGACTAGCTGAGAGTTACAGTAAATGAGCACTTGAAAAAAATATAATCTCTGTAAACAATTTGTTCATTTAGGAGGGCTGGGTAATAATGGACGACATTTTAGGCTATTAAAGCCTCCTGCAAAAGAAGCAAAAACACTTTCGGAAAATGCATTAAATTTAGTAATAAAGTGCACCGCCACAGCGTATGATACGCCCATATCACGGGTTCTAGATTAACATGACTATGTATAATATATAATTTCGCGTTTATTCGCGAAAGTTTCGTGTTATAACGCGATTTTTTTTCACATATGAAAATGAGCTCAATGGGCTTTCGTAGAAACCTTTGTTTTAAAAATAGTTGTAAAAGTTCGTGCTCTTCAAAATTTAAATTTTATGACCATCTAAATATATGACATATTCATGATCATGAACTAATTTAGCACATTATGATGCTAATCATACAGTGTGGATAAAAATTGAATGCCATGTATGAGTGTGTTGTAAAGTTTAAAAGAAGGATTTAAAATAGAATAAAAGTATAAAAATTATACAATCACATCCACTTACCTTTTAATATTTCAAAGTTGTCAATGAATGTTATTTCCATTGTGCTTCTCGCTTTTAAGAACCAAAATAAAATGGATGTTTTGGGAATGTTTTATATATATATGTCCATTTCCAGCAACGAGATTGGAGGACAAGAGGGGGTTTCGGGAAGGGTTGTTGTTAACACACAGTGAACCTACTACTAGTATATCAATTTTATCGATATGTGGAGCAAAGGGAAAAAACATAATACATGTACCATTAAAAAAAATATTTAAGTATTAAATACGTAATTTTTTTAAATTATTTACTGATAGTATCATTAGAATTTATAAGTCCGCCTACTCGATTCTGTGGTAAAATTATCCCTTCACGATGCAGAGAGCAATTTTTTTGTAATTGATTTTATATAATCGCTTTTAGAAGGCACAGTAGATTTTCGGGGGAGGGGGGTGTTGCTACCCCTACCTTTTTCCCAGAATTATAAATTCTTCCCCTGTTAGTTTAATTAGTAAGAAAATGATCAATGAAAGGAAAGGTAGGCTTCCCATTTATTTGTTGGAATATAGACAATTCCTCTCATGTTAATGTATTGTTCTTGTTAAAAAAAAGTATAACTAACACCACATCACCACCACCACCACCATGAAACAGGATTTTCGAGTGGACAAATCAATTTTCCTTTTTTTACGTAATTTGTCGATTATTTTTTCCACCTCCCTTTTTTTCAAAAACGATGTTACGTGCTTCTTTATAATTTTCTTTTGAGAAAATAATCCACCTGAATTGGTTCAACTTGGAAAAAATTATTTCTTTCCTTTAAAAAATTTCGAGGAGGAAATGGTTTAACCGTTAATGATAAACAGATGAGAATATAGATTATGGAGGTAACAGGTGTCACTCAATTTGTGTATGGTAGGAGTTGCTTCTCTTTATATGGACTTGAAGCCAGCATAGACTTCACAGTTACCGTTAGTCAGTATTTTTAAGGGGTTTGTTTGTTTTGTTTTGTTTTGTTTTGTTTTGTTTTGTTTTTGTTTTTTTTTTTCAAAATAAAAAGAGCATTTATATGAGACAAGTATTCTTTATGTGCTTACAAAACGAGTATATGTTAATATATAAATACATGTATATATTATGTTATGAATTTAATAAAGGCAAAATCGTAAATATTAGTTTAATTGTGTCTTTGATAATTTTTTTTTTTTTTCTAAATGATTATCACAGAGTGGAGAAACAAAAATATATAAAATTTATAAAGAAGAGAAGAAAAAAATGGTGCCCATGTGCATATTATTTGGACATACTTAAAATTAGTGAAACTTTTAATGGAAAACGAATTTAAAGAAAAGTAATGAATAATTAATGAAATTGCTAAGAATTGATTAAAATGAGGCTGCATGCAATTAAAACTCTCTCTCTCAGAGAGGGAGAGAGAGAGACTCAGAGAGCATGAATCAGTTAGAGTCGACCTGACTCATTCTTCGTACTAAGACAATCTTGAAGGAAGCATTTACACTCTAAGAGATATAAATACGGTAAGACTTTTCTCACCATTTTTTAAATAAAGAATTTAATCCCTGATATGTTATTTCAAGATTGTATGATATGAAAGTATCAAAACTCTGGAAATACTTTTGAAAATGTATGATTTCTATTTAATTTATAACATATATACGTTGTACTTGTACTTGTCTGAAAAGCTGATAAAACAGTTTGTAGGATAAAGGCATATGGTTTGGGGTTTTCATTAGATATTTCGCTGTAATTTTTAGTCTTGACGTATAATATCTAATGAGAACTTTTGTACCGTAGTGAGTGATTCATGTTTTGCTTTCTTGTAGGATTACCTTATATGGTAATCAATTGTATTCAAAATAAAACAATGCAATTAAGATTTACTATATATCTTCTGATTTTGTGTCAAATGACTGTTCTTTTTTTGAAAAAAGAAATATTTTCCATATAAGGAAGAAGTATCTTAATAGCTTTTGAGGAGCTCTTTTCCCCTTTTAGGACCTCCCAAAACTTCTTCCGTTTTGTTGTCACGTGACAGTCACAGTCCCACCCTTACTATACAGCACAGACTGAGACTGTACTGAAACTTTCAAGATGTCTATCCGACAGACTTTAACAATTACAGATGATCAACTATGTGAGTTAATGGAAACATTTAATACGGTAAGTAATGATTTATTTTCAATGTCACCAGATATCTTTCATAGCGGCCATGACTGTGTTTTGGAGTTCCCTTGCTCCAGGCCGGTTAAGGGGGTAGCCATATTTTTTGTTGTCATTCTTGTGATGTCAAACGTAACTTTGGAACCATGAGAAGCAAGAAGTTGTGTATTTACACCAAAATGTATAAGACATAAAATCCAATTACCACTCAAGCTATGACACCGGTTAATATAATTTGAAAGTACAATAATATTCCCAGTCTGCATTTTATTAATGAATAAAGCATGCAGTTGGTCTTTGTTGCATACTTGCCGTGAACATTTGCAGATATATATCGGCTTTAGTATGTTTAGTAAAGTGTGTTGTGTTTTCAGTTATCAGGTTTTGATATTATCAGATCTTCCTCCATGCAGTATCATGCAAACATGTCAAGAAAGACCAATGCATGACAATGACCATCAAGTAACATACATATAGGTGATTTCTGAGAAAAGGAGAGCATTTACATATACCTTTATTAATTATAAAGTTCTTTGTGAATCATCCATGATTTGTCATTCATTTCTACTAGAAAAAATCAGATATAACAAACCCCGATACATGTAAATAATACAGATTTGTAAGATTTGTTACATAATATTAACCCTTTAAATGTCCATAATTTCTACATATTTTAACTTTGTCCTTATAATCACTAAAACATTGCATAACTAAATGTAATGCAGACCCCAATATCTCTTTAAACATGTTAAATAATTCAATAATAGATTAATGAAAAGAGTCTACATAGGCCATTGATGTTGGCTAAGTATGTGTTCAGATAGATGTAAAGTCTACCTGTCAATAATGATTGATGGTATTTTGTCAGTAACAAGGTGTAAAGGTGACCCATGCAAGTATATGTCTTCTGAGAAAACCAGATGAGCTGTCTGCACATTAAAAATCTAATCAAACCAAATAATACAGTATTGTTTATCCAATGATCTTTCTAGCTAGGGGCAGTTACATTGATTTGCATGTGTATTGCGCATCTACATGTACATGTACACTTGTACGATATGATCAGAGAAAATTGTTGCAAAAACATGATTAAACGTTCTTGTTTACTGACTCGATGGATAATCACCATTTCCCTGTAGTTATTTCCCTTTCCTTCATTCTGTATTGTATTTTAATTAGTTCAAATCCACAAGGAAATGACACACTAAGCTTCTTATTCGTGTAAAGTAAGCAAGCTGAGAGAGGGAAGATAGCTGTGTTTATTTATCCTTTTTTGCAGAAGAATAAGTTAATAATTTTCAAGGAAATATTTTTTGTGACAAGGAAAATCAAAATATTATTTTCTATGCAACTTGAATTATAATACTACTTTAAAAAGGAAACAACAATAATGAATTTCCATACCATACTGAAGCAGTGGGAAGGAGGGAGGGGGATATTGTCAGCCAAATTAAAGGAAGAACTCTAAAAATATCAGAGGGGGATATTTGAACTCAGATGCATGAGTTGGTGCCTTGTCTGTATCCTCATCTCTTCCTCATGTATTTTGCAGTACTTGTCTTTATTAAGTTTTTTTTAACAATTAACATTGCATTGATTTCCATATCGTGTGGTATGTCCTGTAATATAATTTATGGATTAATTCTATTGTGAACATGTTCTTCCCATTGAAACCTTTATAAAGTTAAAACAATTTTTCTTTCATATAAAATTTGTTCTGGTCTACATTTTTTCTTTATGAACTTTCTTTTAAAAGCTTTTCATTTCATATAAAAGTGCGGGTAAACAAATAATACGTGAATCTTTATTTGTTTTTTTTAACACCCAGTACAAACAAATTCAGTAAATCATCCCGATAAAATTCAGCCAGCGGAGAATGCAATAAATTGCCCAGACATTCACTCTTGGAGAGGTTGTATTGGTGTACTTGGAAGAATGATGACAGTGGGCAAACAGGGGTCTCCAAGTAGTAAAAAACATTGACACAAGGTTAGAGAGCACTGTTAAGACGACCACCATCAGACTTATGACAGGTAGCCCATCACACCTTGTATCAAAAGGCTAATCGTAAACTTGGGAGGAACAAACTTATTTCGGGAGGTTTGTCTGTTTGGTTTGCCTGCCATTAAGAAGTCGTATGTTTGTCGAGTTTGTCAGTGGAAATTCAATGAATTCCTATGTGTAAGAGAGGGTAGTGATGATAGCTTACCTCTTAAGTAGGTGTGGAAAGAAAAGCTCTGAATAAGGACATGTTAAAAGGTTGAAGATTTAATCAGATATGACTTGTAGAATCAGTAGAAGATGTTCACCCTTTACAAAATTAATGAACCACTACTCGTAATGACAGAATATTTGTGGTCATATTAATATGTTAAAACTACAGTAGTCCCATACATACAAGAGTGAAAATTTGGCCATTAGCAAGAGTTGACAGCTGTATTAATACAAAGTCGTGAAGGATGAGCAGGTTTTTCTGGTGTACTGAAGCTTGTTGTTTGAGAGAGGAAGACGTATATTTACAGAAACATGGAGACAGGATACAGGAAGGTGTATGGTCAGTGGTTTTCCGTTTCCTCGCTGACGCTTCTCTGGTCAAGTGGGTTGGATTGGGAAGATGCGCACATAATGTCTTAGATGGGTCAAGGGTCTGAGTTGTTCTCTCCTTGTCAAGTGTGTGATTTTTTCCTTGTCATCACTCTCAGTTGTAAAACTTCCTGTCATATTGCGGCTTATAAAAGTGAAGGAATAAAGTATATCTTATGTAAATATTAGGAAATCTTTTACAAAAAAGTGTTTCTTTACCCTCTCCCAACTTGGTATAAAAAAAAAATTTGGGTCAGTAGGTTCGTAGTAAAAAAAAAATTCCAGAAAAATCCAACTTCTATGCTGAATTTGAAATTGAAGGTGTTAATAAAATTAAAAATGGTTGTTGATTGGATGTGGAAATTCTGGAATGATCAAAAAAATAATCTTTTCCAAATTCCTAGAGGTTTAAAAAAAGTTCTGAGTCAGCTATTTTTACTCATTCAGGTGGAAGGGCAAACAGAAAATTTTTTATTGTTGGCCTAAGCTAATGCACTATTGTAGAGTTGATTTTAAGGCATCGTTTACTGTTAATATATATATATGGTATTATAGATTAAACAGTTACATGCGTATAATAGTGGTAAGAATAAATCTGATTTACAAAATTGAGAGATGTTAGGTAAGCACATTAAAATATACATGCTTAAAGTGTAATAATCCACTGGTAGGCAAACTTGAGAGTGTATGAAATATCTTATCAGCCTATATGAGATGTTTGTATTGGAATTTTTCCACAGGGAGCAAAGATTTGGGGTAAATTTTGTGTGGGCCAATAGTTAGAATGGAGAATTTGTGATTTAAAGGAGAGGACAAGATGTTCGATTTTGGGCGTTGGAGCGGGTTCATGTTTATATGAGCTCCTGAATTATATGGTGAAGATGGCATTTGCGACACAATAAATGCATGTTCCAATACGTAGGTGTATGCAAGCTTTGATGAATGGCACATGGGATATGATCGATTATCTTGGAATTTTAAATAACCTAATGTGGAAATCTTGTGACAAATTTAATTTATTTTCTAGGCAGAAAAGAGAGAAGTTTATCTTCATTTATGGCTTATTTGGACCCCACCTTCATTTTTTCATGTTTAGTAGGAATGTCTTGGAACATTTACACTATAAACCCAGCACTAAGATAGATATACTACTACAAGATTGTAATCCTGTTCATTCATGTGTTAGAAGTGTGATCGGCATATCATTTAAATGCTGTTTCTGAAAAGAGGTGCTGCCCATAGTAAAAGAGCTTATAAAAATTCCAGAACAAACACTGTAAAAGTTGTAAAATGAGTCCTCTGACAATGCAAAACACAATTTAAAACATCCCGTCATTCCCTAAATTCAGGTATGAGGTCAGAAAAGTTACAACTGTATACAAACTGTAGTACTATAAACCGTCTAAGCTCGGAAAATATTTTTGCAGTAAAGGTGTGTTATGTCTAATGGCAGTCGTAGGTGATGAAAGGCTTTTAAAGTTGTCAAACAGGTTTTGATTTTGCCTCTCGGTCTAAGAAGTAGGACACATAATGTAAGATTGCATGCATAACCCCAATTTGGGTTAACACTCCATTGTGAAATGAGGTTTGTTTGGGATAATACAGAGGACATATGATAATGTGTCAACATATACACCGTAAATAAGTTTAACAACTCTAGATAACTGATAAATCTCCTTATTGATTTCAATCATTAAAGGTCCAGAGCACTTAAAACATAGCCATTGATTGATATTAAAGCCATGCATGTGTGGATCTGGCCAAATTTGCAAAATTAAAAGATTTCTCTAATGTGAATAGGCTGCAATCTGTTGTGTATTGGTAAGGTTCATGAATATTTGACACTAACATCTTATAAACATATTAGGTTACAAGCCCTGAAACTTTAACTTGGTATACTGTAAATGAATCTATTGAAGGGTTGAATAAGGGAGTAATCAAACATAGATGATACATTTATAGAGGGGTGAAAAAAGAATTTCATGCAAGTTTGACTGTAAGGTGTGAGTGCAGAGCAGACTCTAAGTGTAGGTGGAAAATTACTGCCAGCTTTGCATTTAAAATACAGAGTCAGCAAACATTGTCATACTAAATCACATAGTCTAGCCTGGCAAGGGCAGATTGTAAGATAGCTCAACCTAGAGTAGCTGACTATCCATATATATGCAATTGATAATGAGGTATTTTTTCAAGGTATGCTAACCACACTGAACTTTTGCACCTCTTTGAGAGGTGATCTTGTACAAAAATCAGAGAGTTTTAGAACTGAATGGACAGATTTTTGCAAGAATGACCATTATGTTAATAGTTGGTGACTGGGTATGTGTTGTTTATTTTTGGAGAGACTTGTTTACTTTGTGGAATAGATCAACCCAATATATCATGGACCTGTTGACAGTTGGGAAGACTTCTGCATTTAATCTCTCTATTCATGGAAGAATTAGTTGTGTAAATACACAGAAAGAATGGTCCTTGTGTTGTCCAGTAACCATTTAATCAGTCAACACCCAGCAGATGAAATTACAACCAACATTAAAGATTACCTGAGAAATAATGATTTTTAAGCAAATTAAGGCAAAACAAATAGGGCATATGTGTATTTTACAAGTGCTAAAAAATTTACTGCGGGTTCTGTTTTGTAAAATATACATGTACCATCATTTAAAAGTGACTAAATGAAGTAAAGAAAATGATGGTCATTAAATCTATGGCTCTACGTTTCAGCGACCAGGTCTTGCCTCAGATGTTTTATATACATACCATTCAGATATGGCTGCTTTATTATTCATGAAGTCATAAAGATGTTTTATCGACCTTTTTTGGTGTCATCAACATATATAATAAACAAACACAGGTCTATCGCCCAAGGGAGAGATACTAGTATATATACTTTATCTTCAAGAGTTTATATAGTGTGTACTAATTGGTATTATGGTTATAAATATAATTTACGTGCAATAGTTTAAGGCATTTGTCGTACATCTGTGGCGTTTAAACCTCAGGTTATATGAACTGTCGGTCATCTATTCAGTCATCAGGTTTGATGTTGTGGTCAGGGAGTGTGTAGCGGTTTCAATATGTGGCAAGGATTCAACTCCTGAGTAATCTATTTGACTCATTCATAAGAGGATCCTAAGTAGAGGCTTATTGTCCTCTTCTACAATAGACAGGATCTCTTTAAGTTAAAAGTGGACTGAGAACATATAGTTGAAAAGTTTTGCACTATTAAGTGCCCTAGGTGCTTGAAAATAAAAAGTGAAACATTTATTAAAAAAAAAATAATAATTTGTTGTGGGTGGTATAAAGGTTTCTATTTAAGTTAAAGTTTGGTAATCTTTATGTATAATTTCAATTTTTAAGCAATACAAAAGTTTGTAAACATTAAAATTTGACTCCGTAAAACCTTTACATGTCTATGCTAAAATTAAAACGTGTGTTTCAGTAAGTAATTTGTAAAATACTGTCAAGGGGTGCTTATATATGTATAACTATGTTAAGTATAAAATTAAAGCAATATTCTGTTTGCTTAAAATATTATAATACATGTATTTAAGAGAACATTTGGAGTGTAATATTTTAAGCTTCTAAACAAAGAGGGTTTAGATGAATTTGACAACAGATGCTGTGGCTTTTTTTTATGTGTCATTAACTTCAATATCCCATTAAAAGTGAGTTGAGTAACAAGGAAAGTTAATAAAAACTTGCGTCTTATGACTCGATTCTGAAGCTGGGTGCTGAGTCATCTCAGATTTAGAGTTTGAAACCGTAATTTTTTCCGACTTTCACTGACAGCTCTAATCTGATATCTCTGTCAGGTGGTGTAGGTCTGATAAGGAAAGAATGTGCTGAGGAAAAAGTTTTAGAAGAAAACCCAGAAAAATCTCTCTCTCTTTGGTTTCAAAGGAATTCAAAAGGGAGTATGGAAAATATTTCTGTGTTAATCTTGTAGTCTATATTTAATTTTTTTTTAAATGTTGCTTGGATAAGAATGAAGAGAAATGATGATTCTTATTATTGATGGGACTAGTGCATAGTAATGATACAATATACCCTGTTAAGTTTCCTTGTTCATAAATTTGTCTTCAAGTAGTGTTTCCCCTGTTGAAAACTTCCTCATGGTGCAAACTTGTTTTAGAGGCCAACATTGCATGACCACACAATCAACACACATTGTGCCCCTCCATAATGTACAGATATGTTACGAACTGAAGGAAGTAATCTATAATTTGCTCTCAATAGATTTTCCGTAAATTTTTCCGGGGGCTGCAGAGGTCCTAATATTGTTTAAACAAATTAGCAAAACATTTTGCCAAACAAAATATCCACTTTTTCACATAAACAAGGTGAAAGAATGTACTTAAATTTACATAATTATGGATGAAAATAACTTTTATTAAGTAACTGAAAAATACATTAGTATAACCTTTTCTGAATTTTAAAGACATCTTTTCATCTGAATGCACTTAGCTAATTTTTGTTATGTGTACAGTGAAACAGGGTCATCTAGGAATATCCATGGATGACTAAAAAACATTATGCTACATCAAGACAGTGCACCTGTAATTTATTATATCTGGTCAATTATTCATTAATATATTTACAAGTACTCTGAAAAAATATAAGTTCATTGTAAGCATAAATTAAAAAAAAATTACTTCTATTCATTTATGCCATAAATGTGTTTTAACACATATAAAAAGTTTTTCCCCTTCATAAATTCATTTTCAAAAATTGGTATTGAAATGATCTAATATGGAAACTAATCTTTGACCTAATTTTGACAGATTGACAAAGATGGCAGTGGCTCTATAGAAGTTTCCGAACTACAACATGCGCTAGAACTGTGTGGAATGAAAATACCCAACTACCAGGTCCGAGATCTTATAGCTAAATATGACACAAAGGTCAAGGATGGAAAAATTGACATCGATGAATTCAAACAGGTACACATGCAGTGCTTGGGGGTACTTCTGTGTGTTGTATATGCCACGTGGACTTTGTAATGACTTAGGATTTTTCTCTTTTTTATATATAGATAACTGCATCTTGATAAGTAGCCGTTGTAGAATTTCAGTTTATAACTGATATATTACATGTACATTTCATTATCTCTGTGCAGTCGTCACATGCATTTTAATATTTTGTTCACAATTTGTTGAAATATTTCAACTAAAGTTTTAATTATTTTCAAAGACATTAAAATGCATTCATGGTTATTGACATTAAGGCTTTCACACCTTTATTGCAATAAAAAGTGGATAAATTCAGTCACATTCACAAGTAACAATAGTGAAACATGGCATTTAATATGCCAGACTGGGAAGAATTTAAACCATTTCTATTGTGTTGACAGTCTTGAGATAAAATTGATAATTCAAGAGTTAAATGCATATTTATGTTCACAAGTGGATAAAGACGTAAATTTTGCAAACAACATTTGTAAAACATTTTCTGAAAGTAGCAGAATTGAGGTACAGTTGGACCTTGATATCTTGGACATTGCAACTCTGAAATATCTGATTGCATTAGATATCTAGGTTAAAGCTCAAGTTCAACAAAAGGTCATGACCCCCAACATACCTTTATATACTTCTTGTATTTGACATATCAGTGTTCAAGCTGTACTTTTTCATTTATAGAAAGAAAAAAATTGCTTAGTACAGAATCCACTTTAGAATTTCTTTAAAAAATTCATGAAACACTAGTGGTGGGAATAAAAATATCAACTGAAATCTTAATTTTGTATTGGTATGTGATCCTTGTTAGATTGATATTGCATGATCATTTTGTCTCTCAGTGAGTTCATTACTAACATGTTGACCATTTTTGCTGTGTTGCTATGATGACAGATGTATGCTGACTTGAAAGAGGAAAAAGATATTGGAATAACATTTAAAAAGCAAGTCCAAACTCGTAAAGATGTTGAGACAATGGGAGGGAGCTCCCAGGCTTCTGTGGAGGGTACCACCCACACCGTTAGAAAGGAGGAACAGAAAGCCTTCGCTGACTGGATCAACAGGTATGATGCAAAGCACATTGTCTAATAATCGTCGACCATTTTTACAGATCTACGCGGACCTGAAGAGCAAAAATGATCAAAGCGTACACTGGAAAACTGTTATTAAATCAAGGAAAAATGTGGAATCGCTAGGTGGATTGTCACAAGCTTCCGTAGAGGGCACCACACATAGTGTCAAAAAAGAGGATCAGAAAGCATTTACTGACTGGATTAATAGGTAGCACACTAGTGTGCTGGTGTGCTGTGCTGAGTGTGCTCCTCAACAAATAATAGAGATTATGTGTGATATATAATCAGCTTGCTACCAGTTTTTCACATTTTAAATTTTGATCAACACATTTTCCTCTTTTATTTTTTTTATTTTGCACCTTTTAATATTTTTGTTTTCAGCAAGTGATAAGTCTCAACACAAAACTAACTAGTGTGCTCTTAGTTTCAGTAATTTCATAGTTATTTTTTTGTTGTTGTTTGTTTTGTGTTAATGTCCCACAAATCGTGACATGTTTTCATTTCGTTAGACTGTATGATTAATTCTATGGATGTTTAAGGTGTAATAACAGTGAATTAATGAATAAGATTCTAGCGTAAATATTTTACCTTTTGAACTGTCCCGACTAAACGAATGTCATTAATGTTGCACTGAGTATAGGAATTATTTGGTGCATTCAGAGGAATTCAGGAATTCCTTTTGCAATTGACAACCTTGAAATTAAAACGCAAGCCATGTTTACTGTTGTAAAAAGCTAGTGAAGTTTGTCAAATGTAATGGCTAGAAATTGTAGATGTTAGAGAATTTTACGGAGATTATCCCATAATCATGTCAGATGTAGAGTGCAAGTATTTACTTAAAGACTAAACAGGATTTCTTATGCTGATAAATTAAAGGCACTTTAAAGCTACTGATAAGCATTCTTTTTAGCTCACCTGAACTGAAGGTGCAAGTGAGCTTTTCTGATCACCTGTCGTCCGTCTGTCCATCCATCTGTCTGTCTGTTAACTTTTCACATTTTTGAACTTTTTCTCCAGAACCACCTGATCAATTTCAAGAAACTTACCATAAAGCATCCTTTGGTAAAGGGGGATAGATTTATTAAAATAAAGGGCCATGTTACTCTTTAAAGGAGAGATTATCAAGAAAAGGGGGAGGGGGTTGGCTTAAAATATCCTCTCAAGAAACACTTGGCCATTATGAAACTTTTGTGTAAACTTCCTGACAAAGTGTGGATATAAGTTAATTCATATCAGGGACCCCAGGGACAGGGTGAGGCTACAATTGGGGTGAAAGCTTTACATGAGAATATATATGAGAAATCTTTAAAAATCCTCTCAAGAATGGCAAAGCCATGATTAGTCATATTTGATGTGGAAGCATCCTCAGGTAGTTGTAGATTCAAATTTGTTCAGTTCAAAGTCCCTTGGGATAGAGTGGGGCTGCAATAGGCGATCAAAGTTTTACATAGTCATATATCAAAATCATGTTCTCAACAACAGTAAAGCCATAATTAGTCATATTAATTTGAAAACATTCTCAATTAGTGTAGATTCAACTTTGTTCAAACCATAACCAGATGTAAGGTGAGGTCACAATAGGAGATCAAATTTTTACATAAAACATATATAGAAAAAATCTTTAAAAACTCTTTTTCCCAAGAACAGCATAGCCTCGATTAGTCCTCAGGAAGTGTAGATCCAAATTAGGCTATTCCAAGTTTATTCTCTGTTTAGCGTCCACCCATCTTTCAAAAACCTACCTACCTATTCGCAAAAAACACACAAATCAAAAAATAAAACACAGACTTTATAGTCACAAAAATGACGTCATTCAAAGGATCTATTCTTCTCGTAGAAAAAAACTATTCTTAAGCAAAATCAAGGTACAGTGTATTCAATGCTTACAATATTCCTAATATGACATATTGTAGACAAATATCTTGAGAAATTGACAGAATTCATTGATTTCGACCAGAATAGTCAAGTTCAGGACACCTGATTTTGTTTGTTTTTTCTGATATGGGGTGTCAAAAACCAAGGTGCATGCCGACGCTAAACAGAGAAATAACTTGGAATGGCCTTAGTTCAAATCATAGTCCTGGAGTAGGATGGGGCCCTGATAGGAGATCAAAGTATTACAAAGGAATAATCTGCTGATGAAGAACAGTAGGCACAAAGTGGCTCAGATTAGCATTGTAGCCCATGGACTTCATGTTTTTAATTGTGATATCATTTTTCTTTTTAATTTTTTTCTTTTCACTTCAATCTTATTTTTGTATTCTTTTAATTTTATATGATATATATTTATCACCAATTTTACCATATTTTATATACTGCATATTATGTACTATTATCAGTTAATTTTATGACAAAATTTCAAGTTCTATGGATTCTTTTCGACAGGGCTTTGGCTGATGACCCAGACTGTGCCAAGTACCTCCCCTTGTCATCCATGGGTGAGGATCTGTACAAGAAGACCCAGGATGGTATCCTGCTGTGGTGAGTAGCAATGGGGGAGGGGGGGGAGGTTGTCACCTCAACCAAAATTTACTCTGTTGTCATTATTTGTGACAGATAGTCTGTCTCTTTTATTACGTCAATGAAGTGCATACCTGCAAACAATAAGGCTCGAAATTTTTAAAACAATTTGAAATCTATATATATATAAAGGAAAAAAGTGATTCCCAGTATAAAAATGTATACATTTTTAATTTTATTTAGCAGGACATAGGCTGTTTATCACCTTCCCTTGTAAACTTAACCTTTTGTCCTACAAAGAAAAGGAAATAAATTGATCTTTGTTTTCAATTTAAATTATTTTAGTCTCTCCTTACATATGTCAACTTCCTTATCAGACCTTACACATATATGTGTATATATAAGAGTACAAGGGTATTTGAAATAGAAATGTTATGCAATTGAAAGCTTTGTTTAAGGATGTGTTTTTTTTTCTTATAAAAATTCAACAATTTTCCTGTAAAATTGACATGTGATACTACATAGATATGAATAATAGTTTATGTTTATTGCATCCCTTATATGGCAAACTTGTACATTTCTTTCCTTATATATATAACAGACAGCCTACTTGAACTTTAAGTAACATTTTCAATAGATTTATTGTGCATGGTTAGTGGTCCATATACTCCGTTAGAATATCTGCAAAAGTTAGAGAGAAAAAAATGAAACAGATGACTGTGAATATAAAACAGATGATTGTGAAATACATTAAAAGAGAAAATGCACATTATGCAGTTTGCAGTGTAATTAAAGAGGTGTGTCAAAAAATTAACATGGCATAGCTAATTTCTCCTCTGTCTCATCATAGTACGTGAGTGCATTATGTAACCCCAGCAAGAGTGCATCACATCAAGATTTCCTTGTATTTGGCCATATGTTACCCACAACACTTGTACAATCAGCTGTTTGAGAATTGATTTCTGCTATTTAGAACTTATGCTACAAACAGAAACTTGAGTAAAAAATCTATTGACCTGTTTAGGATGAACAAAAGCTAGGGTCACTCTGTAATAGGCTGACCAATATTGGATAAATTTGGAGCAATATTTATTTTTCACCAAATAAACTGACATTGAACTGTATGTCAGTTGTTTAAAAAAAGCATTGTTTACTTTTTATGATGTTAAAAATAATTTCAGTTCATTCGTAAGTACTTGTTATATATTTGCTAAAATACCAGCCTCTTTTGCTTCAAGTACCCCGTTAAGCTATATTTGCTATTAAGCTGCATTGTTAATTATGCTTTCTTTTTTTCACCCAGAAAGTCTTTTTAATACAGATACGGTCACCATTGTCAATGGTAATTAAAAAATAAATGATTGCTCCCTGAGAAAGGACACAAAGTATTTGGGAAAGTATTAACTGATAAATGATTTGGCCAATTCATCAGTACGAAATTCAAGTTCCCCAGGTCATTACTTATATAGGTCATTACTTACATATTTCTCCAATTTCTGATAGATCCCTCTCAATTTTGCTAATTTTTATGCCCCCGCCATAAAATGGCCAGGGGCATATAGTGCTACCCTGTTCCGTCATTCTGTCATTTCTTCATCAGTCATGTTCTGTTTATTATCTCAGCAACAGTTGCAGACATTCAACTCAAATTTGGCGTATGAATACATCATAGGAATACTCAGGTTAAGTTCAAATTTGGTCATGGTCCGATGATTTTTGACAGAGTTATCCTTCTTGAACTTAGAAAAAATAAATTTTCAGTGTCCACTTTCTTACTTATGTAGGGATGTATGTATAAGGTTTAATTGCATATGCAGGTATTTTACCAGAAAATACAGGTCAAGTTTGAATTTAGTTGTAATTTGATGATTTTTGACAGAGTTATGCCCCTTGAACTTAAAAAAAAATCTTTAATTTGTGCAAACTAATTTAAAACTAAATATGGCATTTGAAATTTTGGCTGCCTGCAGGGGCATTCGTGGCATAACATCTAGTTAAGCATGTATCAAGGATGTGCACCATAAGAAAATTTGATACATATGAGTGTGTATTCTTACCGGTACATTCCTAAGAAGACACAATTTCATGTCTTGAATTCCTTGAATATTGATCTCATTTGTGTCAAATATAATTCTCTGCTATAAAGTATGATTTCAATTTCACAAATTATAAATTAAATTACGTTCATTGAAATTTTGTTTGTATGTTGTAGTAAACTTATCAACAAGTCTGTACCAGATACCATCGATGAACGTGCCATCAACAAAACAAACCTCAGCATTTATCGCAGGGCCGAGAACCACAATTTGGCCCTGATGTCCGCCCAGTCCATTGGCTGTAACATCGTCAACATCGGGGACGATGATTTGGAGAAGTGTAAACCTCATCTTGTTCTTGGCCTGTTATGGCAGGTCATTAGGGTATGTGTCCTAGTAGTTCCAGCAAATTCTTACACATAAGAGATATGGATTTTTGATGTTTGATTTATTGTGATGAAATGAGAATCAAGCAATTAGAGAACTAGCACGGTACTTGTCAGTACATTATACTCGTGAGACTCCTTTCTCATTAGGACCAATGTGTGACAGTTATTCGAGAAATGTTATGTTTCTTTGCTGCAATGACAAACATGAAATTCAATTGCAGTATAGAAATCTGAAACATAATATATTTAATTTGTATAAAATAAGATTATAAACATGTATGTTTCTTTCTTTTATAAAAGTGACCGATATGTGTTGGCTTCTGTTATATTTTTAGCCTAAATGTGGCATTCAGCATAAACCAGATAGGATGCAGGCATTGTAGAGTTCAATGAAATTTTTACTATTTTTTTGGTTGCAATTTTAGATTGGTCTGCTAAGTGATATTAACTTGGCTAACCACCCTGGTCTTGTAAATCTTCTGGAAGAAGGGGAAACTCCAGAGGACCTTAAGAAACTGTCTCCAGAACAGATCCTGATCCGCTGGGTCAATTACCACCTCAGGAACGCCGGAATTGACCGCAGGATCAATAACTTCCAGAATGACATCAAGGTAAAGTTGAAGCATGGTCAACAAAAATAAAATAAAAAATGACATATATTCTCTTGTTTGCAGTACATACACATGTACAATAATTGTTATTTAACAATAAGAATAAAAAAATTTTTTTTAAGTGTAGAAAAATTGGCTCAAAGTGGAAAAGTTTTGTGCTCCTGCATGATTATTCGTAGTTGATAGCTCATTGGACAGTTAGTTATGGATTTTAATTTGCTGTCTTTTACAGGATTCAGAGGCTTACTGCTATTTACTGGAGCAGATTGCACCTAGAGAAAACAATGTCATGTCAGGTCCTCCTATGTCTGTAAGTATACTGACATTCGGCAACAACAGTCCTATTCTCTAAGAAGCCTGTGTCAGATTTAAACATACTTAACAGACTTTTCAAATGATGGATTGATGTCTCATAGATTTGATGCAAGATTTCACCTTCATTGGAGTAAAAAAAATTACAATTTTGAATTTCATGTTTTTAGGAACATAATTTGGAGCAGAGAGCTGAGCTTATGTTACAGGAGGCAGACAAGATTGGCTGTCGCAGCTTCGTGTCGCCTAAAGATGTGACGTCGGGTAACTATAAGCTGAATATGGCCTTCGTGGCTAACCTATTCAACCAGTTCCCAGCCCTGGAACCCCCAGAGGATATGGAGATGGATGTCGTAGAAGAAACCAGAGAAGAAAAGAGTAAGAGGACTTATAAAATGCCATATGTAGCAAAAAAAATAAATAAATAGTAATCTATTTCCTTGACTTGTTTCAAATCAAGCAACTAGGATTTTTAAAGAAGTCTGAGTAGAATAAATAAAAAGTAATCCATTTCCCTGAATTGTTTCAAATAAAGGAACTAGGATATTTAAGGAAGGCTGAAATAGAATAAAAAAATTTTCCAGAAATTCAGAATGTATATTTTATTATCACATGTAATAGCAAGTTTAATTTGATTTTGCTTGAAATTTTCAGCATACAGAAACTGGATGAACAGTTTGGGAGTGCAGCCCTATGTACATTATCTTTACTCTGACCTTCAGGATGGTCTTGTGTATTTCAAATTATATGACATTATCAGACCAGGGGTCGTGAACTGGAAGAGGGTCATTCAGAAGTTCAACAAATTAAAAATTAACTTTGAAAAATTAGGTAAACGTCAGTCATTTCATACATTTCTGTATTTATTCATCTATTTATTTATTTTATTTTTATGATATTTTATGAGATATTCTAAAGATGTGATAAGATTGATATTTTTTTGATTTTTTATTTATTTATTTATTTTTTTTTTTTTTTTGTAGAGAATTGTAATTATGTAGTAGAACTAGGAAAAGAATGTAAGTTTTCCTTGGTGGGCATCAGTGGAGCAGATATTAATGAAGGAAACCCCACACTGACTCTTGGTATGTTAAAACATAATTATTCATTACGTAGAATATATACAAATTTTCAAATGTCTATCTTAAGATACATCCTCCATCTGTTCACTCATATAAAAGTGTACTTTGATGCTATTTATTTACGGAAGAAATCTCAATTTTTGACTAAAAAGCACACAAAGTCATCATACTTTGTGGGAAAAAAACTTAAGAGAAATGGCCTTTTAAGTTGAATGATAGTAATTTATCCTAGTGAGAGACATTTCTCCTATCATAGGGTCAATGAACCTTAAGTTCCTTTTTTTATTTTCTGAAATATTGTCTTCTTGTGGGTTCTGTTTAAAACATTTGAAGAAACCAGTGAGAAACTTCTCCTTTACAAGTAATGCCATTGCTTTTGAAATATTATGTTGTACTTGAAAAATTATCAACATGAAATGTTATGTATGATTTGATAAAAATTGACACTAGTAGTAACATTGTAGGTCTGGTGTGGCAGCTGATGAGAGCCTACACACTAAGTATCCTCAGACAGCTGGCTGGAGGGGACTCACTTATCAATGATGCTGCCATCATTGAATGGGCTAATGCCAAGGTGGGAGTGCTATATATGCCACATATACATGTATCTATTGGTCTCTTAATGTGTTCTTCTGATCCTTTAAAGGATATTACAGCCCTTTTTGTTGTCCACAAAAAGAAAACAAAAAAAAAAAAAAACCCCACAGCAGGCATCTCTTTAGAACGTCTTTTTTAAATGCAGTGCCCAATTTATGCATCAAAGAAAAATTGCTATTATGATTATGTACGGTATAAGAATTCTTTCATATTGGAGACATGATAAGCAATTGGGTTGGGGACAGTGACATAACTATGAACACACTGTTGCCCAAAACCTTGGAACAGTCAATTTTGTTGATAAAAGGAAGTGTGATTTATTGGAATGTTAGCAAAAAACTAACCACTGATCACTCTTGCAGATGAGTTGTGAGTATGTATGAGGTAGTATGACTTAATAACTTTCAAAGATTGTACTCTAAATTATTTGCAAGATTTGGACTTATTCAAACTTTCAGGAAAAAGAGTGCTCTCAAGGGAAATTACTCTAAATAGTGCAATAAAATCTATTTGTGTCAGCCTTACCCTGCCTTTGTATGATTACAATATTCAGTACTGGTCCCCTGGGTTGGTTTTGATAATATTAAATGTGCACTACCACACATTTGTTGTGGTTGGGACCTAAAAAATTGCCAGTACATGTATTTGCAGATTCCTTTACATGTCTTTATTCTATATTATAACTTTTTCTGGCTTTGTTAATTTTGTTTTTTGTAATAAAGGTGATAACATTGTTGTTCCAATGTACATGTGTAGTTCTCTAAATCCTTCATAAATCATATGGATTTTTTTTTTCAGTTGCGAGAGGGAGGTAAAAAGACCAGTTTCACAGGTTTTAATGATTCCACTTTGTCAGATGGTAAAACAATAATTGACCTCATTGACTGCATCAGACGAGGAATGATCAATTACGACTTAGTAAAGGACGGACACTCAGAAGAGGTCAGATATTTGTTCTTGTCAATGCTCTGGGGGTTCTAATAATTTTGAATGAAGGGATATTTAATTAAGGTTCATTGATACACTGATAAGAGAGATAACTCTTAATGACATAAATCTCTATTACTCCTTTATAGATTTGTCAAGCTGAAATGTCTTTTTTGTTTAATTTTGCCCCACAAGCTGTGGTATAATTGTTTGTATTTTACTTATAAAATACATTTCTTTCGGAAAATCGTAAAAGTTAAAGCAACATTTTATATGATTGAGAAGAGGGTTTATGAACCATAAAATAGGGGCTGTTTTGTTTTATGTACCCCCCCTTTCCACTCAAACATAACCCTCAAATTCACCAGCTGTATGAAATGTCATTATATTGTATTTTGTTATTTTTTATATTAACTTTTTTTTTTACTTTCTTTAACAGGACAAGATGTCCAATGCTAAATATGCCATTTCTATGGCCAGAAAAGCAGGAGCTAAGGTGTACGCTCTTCCAGAGGACATTGTTGACGTTAAACAAAAAATGATTATGACCATTTTTGCCTGTCTTATGGCAAGAGACATGAGGAGCCAACAGAATGGAGAAACATCGTAGACATAACCAATATCAGCTTGCATTTTCTGTTTGTACAACAAAAGTCAAAAAATTTGCTTCAAATATTTTTTTTCTTTATTCACTTAGTTTCAATATATTATATGGAACTGCTAGAACGGTATAGGAAATTAAATTGTGCGAGCAGAAGGAAAAAGTGAAAAATCATGATGATTTTTGCAGTATTATGTTTGAAGACAAAATTTTCCATGTTTTGAAAAAAAAGATTTTTTTTTACATTTCTTCCTTTATGCAAAAGTTGTCATAGCAATAAACTAAACATGCATGTATGCTCGTGTACTTAACTGTTGAGCATGTACAATTTCCTTTTTACTGGGAATTTTTGAAAGCGTGGACCAAAATGTGCCAACTATGCAATGGGACCACATCATATACATTTTCAGATATAGTCAGTAGAAAGGTTCATAAATTTATTTTTCTAATTTTAGAAAAAAAAATTTTGTTTTCATATTTATTTTATGAACAATATAATAAAGTATACACTTCCTGTATATTTGTTCACCATATTATCTGTGATTTTTTTTTATTACTTTTGAACTATCATGACATTAAACAATCATATAAAAAAAACTGAAGTGATGCATAAGCCTGTCTCTATAGTCTCTAGTTTTTTAATCATTTAACCTGTAGTGTTAGCCACGGTTTAGATCTGATGAAAACATGGTAGATAATTAAGATGAGGAAACAATAGTGCTGGATAAAATGCTTCCATATCACATTCCAGTCAGAGACTTTGAAAATCTTATTTTTTAGGTCAGAAAATTTCATTTTTGACTGTCTATAGTTCTTATTGGAACATTTGTTGAAACTTTGTTAGGGAGTACATATTTATATAAGTGTGACCACTTCCAATAGTTTGAACATATGGCTGAATTTGAATTCATTTGTATCATTATTATAAAACATCACCATTCAACAGAAATTTATTTTTTATCTTGTCTAATTATTGCTGTTATTGACATATGCTTGAATGAATAAAAGCCTAAAAAATAACATTTATACATTCTAGATTTATTAATAAAACCAATTTGAAAACAAAACTGAGTTTTGCTTGCTTGTAGAAGTGGACCTCAATGATGAAATGTTACGTAAATGTATCAGAAGTGATGGATTGTGGGGCAAATTAACAGAATAAGAGAAAAGACTATTGTTATCAATTTTTGCAGTCTGGCCAAGGCCCAGTCCAAAAAAGTTTTTTTTTTAAATATAATTTTGAAACGGATCAAAATGAGTTTTTTCTCTCGGTTTTTGGAATGTATTCTGAAACTAATAGTGCTGAAGTTTTTTCCTGGCTGTTTCTTAGATTTTATATGCATTGTGTTTTAAAATGAGGGCTTGTCATTTGAAGCTTCTATTTCCACTTCCATTAGATGTACAAACATGCTTTCAAAAATTGCCTGTTTAAACAAGTTTTCAAGAGTCCTTTGGATGAGACCGTATCATTCGATGCTTCCTGACCCAGTATATGCTGGCACAAAAGAAAAAAATACTGCACTGCTCAGTGGCCATTAGTGCCGAATGCAAGTCTAATTTTCCAGCAAGCGGTGGCATATTTGAAATATTCTAGAAAAAAAAATCCATGAAATCTGATATTGTAGATAGGATTGACAGAGTTATTTCCCTTATCTACAGTATATATAATATCATTAGTATATTTAACAAGGATCATGATAAACATTTTTAACTATTTTATATTTCCTGCAACACATGGAAGAAATTGAAATGACTTTGGGAAATACATCTATCATGAAATAATTCTAATAGTTACAATCATGAATGCCCATTCTCGCAGCTAAACTCAGCTAGGATCTAACGGATTATAGTTTAGGAACAAGGTTGACCGACTCAATACACCAAATCATAAATTGTGTATATAATAATTGGTAAAATCATCTTATTATACCTGTGTTATAGTGTTTAGAGAGAAAGAGAGAAATCATACCTGTGCTTACAAACTTTGTACAGGACAAATATTAACAAGACTTTGAATAAATTATTTTCATTTATTGTAACAAACATATGTATAACATGAGTTACATATATGAAGAAGGATAAAATGACAATTGAAGTAATGGTAAATATACATAATGTAAAATAATTGTAACATGCACTTCTTGATCTAATCAATATGAACGCATATCATATATATATATATTGGCACTCAAAATTGCAAAAAGGAAATGAGTTTGATTTTGCATAATCTCTGATATACGTTTCTTCCGTTATAATATTGAAGTGAAAATTACATGCTGTAAAATCTAATCAATTCAACTTCCTTTAAAAAACCCTCAAATATATAAATATTTAAATTTGTACATATGTGTGCATAATATTTTATGACAATGCAGGCACGTAGTATCGTTTATGAAGGGGGGGGGGGGGCAGGTAAAAAAAAAATTGACAATGTACATGAAAAATCTTTGACAAAACGTGTGTGTTTGGGGGTGGGGGATTCCAACCTTTTCCACAAACAAATTTTATTACTACATTATCATGGGACGGGATTTGACTATACTGCAACAAAGGAGGGGAGGGGGCGGGCTTTCAATGAACATTTTCAACAGTAAAAGGTGGGGGGGGGGGCTTAATACATTATCATGAGACGATTTGACTATACTGCAACAAAAGAGGGAGGGGATGTGATTTCGAAGAACATTTTCAACAGTAAAAGGTTGGGGGGGGGGGCTTAATTCATTATCATGAGACGATTTGACTTTACTTCAACAAAAGAGGGAAGGGGGTGTGCATTCGATGAACATTTTCAACAGTAAAAGGTTAGGGGGGGGGGCTTAATACATTATCATGAGACGATTTGACTATACTACAACAAATAAAAGAGGGGAGGGGAAAGGCTTTCAATGAAGATTTTCAACAGTAAAAGGTTATGGGGGGGGGGGGGGCTGTCCGCTCCCCCTCCCCCGATAATACGTACCTGCAATAAATTGGAAGTTGTATATTACGGGTATGGTATTCAGTTCTAACAGTACATTGATTTAATACATGTACGACTAATTTCTTACTAACACTAGAATATATACAAGGTTAACGAAAAGGGGGCAAGATCTGGCACAATGGATATATGTGTTCATGAATTATTAACTCCTTAATTAGATTGGCAAGAAATCTTTGTACTACAGGACTGTTTGTGTTTTATTATTATCAATTGGTGAAAAAAAGGGACATGAGGAAAAAATTAAGTACCATTTAAAATACAGTAACATAAGAAAAACCTTTGTCAAAAAACTACATGGCACTCTTTTGAAGGCATATAATACAAATAATGATAAAGTATAAATATAATGTATGTACTAAAATATAGTAACTTGATCAAAATAAATAATCAAAAATTTATCACTACTGGTAGGCCTCTTATTTAGGAATTTTACAATTAGCCGTTAAAATTCTGCTTATTTGCAGTAAAATAATACGTGTACATATCTGTTGGCTATTAATGTTAAAATCACATATGTATTTTCCCTGTTTACATACATACGTCATATTGATGCGTGAAAAAAAGTATGCATTACATTTTTTCGTATGCGTGTACATGATGACTGTTATCTGTTGGAAATATAAATGAAAGGATTTTAAGCAAGTTATAAAAGGATATGCAATTAATTAATATTTTTAATATTAATGGAAAAGTCAAACCAAAGATTTTTTATATGATAATGTCTGGATATGACACACGCTAATCATGATACACGCTCTTAGAAATCCGTTTACGCTGATGACGTAACATTGCTCTCAACGTCAGTCCAACGTTCTCCATATTGTCGGAGGCGTCACCTAAAATAATGTAATAAACAGAAATGAACTAAACTTTCTTAATAATAATTCCAATACTAGTAATGATGACGGAATTCTCTCGAAAATTATTTCTGGAGGAAATAATATAGAATATTGAGAAAAGCTGGTTGTTATTTTTATATATTTTGCAAAAAGAAGGAGTATTACATACTGCCGGTGAGTCAGCAGTTTTGATAAATGATATGCATCATAAATAAAAAGAATTTTCTGACTACAAAATCTACTACTAAAATAAAATGTGTATCAAGGTGCAATTAATGTATAAAATTGGATCAGGAATTAAAACGATGCTGTATTGCAAGAAAACAACCGGTCACCGTGCTATACATGAAAAAAGCAAAGCAAAATCAGGAATAGAAAAAAAATGGAATAGTTAGCTGCAGAGAGATGGCTTTTTAGAAGAAGCCCTTATCCATTTTTGCGTGGTTTGATCTATATTGTATGTGATTACAAGAAAATAGTCATAACAATGATTAATCTGAAATATCGTCATATATACAAAACCCCGCAAATATTAATGTATAAAGGGCGAAAATATCACCTTATTCGTAGGGTTCCAACATGTCATTAAAGGCATCTGTTATCTCTTGAACCACTGGAAAAATTACAGGAATCAAATATACAAAAATATACGCACAGAAAATACAGCACTCAAAACCACTACCTACCTTTCACAGGTACATGACGTCATATTTTTCTAACACAAAATACCTCCCTATAAAATGTTATTTATAAGGAAGGGGCTATTCTTTACTTATAATCATTATTAATTTATTATTTACTTAGTATTAATTTTTTTGTGATAAAAAAATATGAGGTCAAGTGCCGTGCTTCTATCTACAGTATGGTGCACTGCATGGGTAGTTTTGGCGTCGGGCATTGCAGGTTTGCTTTGAAGCAGTAGTTTAGTTTAAAAGGAAAATAAAATCACACGATATTTGCAAATATTGCTTTGTGTTAATATTTCAATTCATTTCGCTGATCTCGGATTCTATATTTTCACCAACCAAAATATATTTCGCCAAAATTTCCCGACATCCAGAATTTGAACCGACTACTCTACTGCATACACACCCCTATCATTATCATTAATAAAAACGTTGAATTTTGAATGATGTTCCTTCCTTCGTATCAAATACTGGGTCTTTTTAATATTTTTTTCAAAGAGGTTTTTTTCCTTCTTTTTTTCAGGGGGGGGGGGGGGGGGGCTTTTTTTATTTGTTTATTTATTTTGTTTCTGTTTTATTTTGATGAAAAAAAAAATGTCCTACAATTCCGTCGCTAAAAATAAGAGGAAATCTGTCTTCCAAAATGATCGTGTTTGAGATTTGATGCAGACAGTAGCCGTCGATAGATCTAGAACTATAAATGTTTTCCTGGCGATCAATGAACAAATCAAACCGAAGTAGCAATCTAGCACTTTGTCTTCTACACGGAAATCTCGTAAATTCAGAGTCAATGCTAAGAAGCAGAGAAGCGTGCGTCCTACAGGGTGTATGCTGTAAGTACTTACTCTCGGAATCTGAATAGTCGGGTGATTCTGGAGCGAATGCAGGATTATCATCTCCTTTCCGGTCCGCCATTTCTTTCCTCCTGTGAAGAATCGCCTGCAACTCTTTCCCGCCACTGCGTGCCGTCTTATACTGCAATGAGTACATCTTACCTTTAACTTTAATATCGGGTCTCATCATTTTAAATATCTATATTTATAATAAAACATAGGTAAACATGGATCAACTTTGAAGCAGTTTAAATATCTATATTTGCAATATAAGATTTACATACACTTCAGGAAGATACACTTTCTGGAAACATAGAACAACATGGATCAACTTTGAATCACAGGTGCTTGAGGACAGGACCCCCCCCCCCCCCCCCCCGATATAGACCCCCGGGCCTTTTCGAATTTTTTTCATAAATCATCTTTCAATGACATATTTGTGATCTGATAATCTATACCAACAATTCGAAAAATTACCTAAAACAAACATTTTTATAAAATCTACATCACTCTCTATATATGATATATATACATGTATATAGGGTAGGGTAGTAATTTTTTTTAAAATTTTTGTTTAAGTCAATTTTCCGAATTGATGATACAGAGATTATATCACAAATTTGTCATCCATATATAATTTATGAGAAAAAGTCGAACAGGTCCGGGGGTCTATATCTGGGGGGGGGGGGGGGGGGGGGGGCTGTCCTCAAGCACCTGTGCTTTGAATCAGTTGTTAGTAATAACCTTATTTTCCGGCCTTTTACTCAGACATTCATGTCTCTACAACACTTCCCAAACTTAAAAATTTCTACTTTTTATGATAATCTTTATTTCACCTATTCCTCCCATTAAAGAGCTAAAAGAACTCTTGTTTGAAGGAACGTACCCCTTCTTTGTTTTTCTGGACAAGGATTTGACTTTCCAGGCGCTGTGCCTCTTGAGGGCCAATAAGTCGGTCCATCTCTTTCCTTTTCAGTCGGAACATGTCTTCTCCATTGTATCTTCGAAATACTCGGATGCATCTATGAAAATCAAGTAAAATCGTTTAGTGTATACTGAATTTACGAATATTAAAGTGGGAGAAATCAACAATTTAAAAGACCTTTATTGCTTACTCTTCAGAAAATCCCTTTGTATCTAGCCAATCGCCAACTTCGTCCACGGTTGACCTTGCTGTGATGGTTTTGACCTGAGGGCGCTCTCTCTGCGGTTTCTGGGCAGTCTTAGGGCCTTGACCTGACTTTGGACCCCGGGACATTCGCTGCTGAAGTTCGTCATGAAGATCATCTCTTTTCTTATCAGCTATTAAAAATAATTAATCTTAACATTCACTCTTTTTACCAACTGCAAGAATCATTTAATGGTTCTAGGTAGGATCAACACCAACTCTGACACTGAAATCACTCTAGTTGAGGGCAATTTTGAGTATCTGTTAGCTTTGGATTTCGAAACTGTTGCAATATCAAAGCACAATTAATCAAGCACTTGATATTTTATATTAAAACGGTATGCTTACTGGTGATTCTTTGACCTCTTGGAGGAGGGGGTCTAGATGCAGGTGGTGGAGGTGGAGGAGGATCCTTACGTCTTGGTGATGGATCTCTGTATTTTCTGGGAGGATCATCATATCTGGGGGTTGGCGGATCACTGTATTTTGAGGGTGGTGACCGCTGTCTTCGTCTGTCGCTTTGTCGATTAGACCTGTGACTTGTTTGCTCTCTGTCGCTGCTGTCTCGGCTCCAGCCATCACTGTCGTCACGTGGACTGCGTGAGCTGTGGGCTCTATCACTTCTCCGTCTATTGAGGTGAATGTTATATTAGTTATACAAAACAGTCTTTTTGGGGAATATCATTTCTATAAAAGTTTCTAGATTTTTAAATTGGAATATCATGCCTTAATCAAACAATTTCTAGATTTTTAAAAGGCTTACAATGCAGGCAAGATACACATCAGCATATTGTACACAAGGTTATTTTCGCCCACTAATACTTGCAAACAATTTCGCCCCCATTATAAAATCGACCAGAATAGTTGTCTCTTTTGAGAGATAACCCTGTCAATGATATTCGCTACGTTTTAAATTTGCCCACGATGCGAAAATAAAACTGGGCGAAGATTTCCCTGCACACAGTATCTATTTATCGTTTTTCACTGGTGTTATGGTCAATGTATTTTCTTTAAAATTACTTCATCTTCTTATATTGTCACTAAAATACTCTGCAGTAATCTTCAAAAAATTGTTTCCAAAGATAGACTAAATGTGGTAAATTTGATTTCACATTGTGTTTTCTTGGGAGACTTACCCACGCGATCGTCGGTCCTCGTCGCTCGCGCTCCCACTGCTGTAGTCTTCGCTCTGACGATGTCGTCTGCTGCTGTTCTGGCGTTGCTTTCTGTTGTCATTGTCGTCTGCACATAATATTGCAAAACAACAGTTCATTGTAAATATATAGAGTAGATATATTCTCTGTAAAGATGCTCTGCTTCTATTTGTTAATCTTAATCCAACGGTAATGACTATAAAACAGGTACGTAGTATGGGGAAGGGGGGGGGGGGGCTGCCCCCTCCCACTTTTTTCCAAACATAACCTTTTACTATTGAAAATGTCTATTGAAAGTTGTCCACCAACGTTTTAGGTCACCTGAGTCACTCAGGTGACCTATTGCTATCCGTCTTTGTCTGTCGTCTTTCGTCGTGCGTATACATTTGAGCATTTTCAGCTTCTTCTCTGAAACCCCTGAACCAATTTCAACCAATTTTGGCATATAGCATCTATGGGTTAAGGAGAACAAAAATTTTGAATTTTATGGTCCCTGCCCCTTGGTGCCTGATGGGTGGGGCTAAAACCACCAAAATTAATGCTATCTTTATAAAAATCTTCTTTACTCCTGGACATCAAGCGTTCAAACTGTTGGCATGATTGTAATAAGCATTGAATCCCCTACCAAAATGTGAAATTCATGGCCCCAGTGTCAGGGGTTTTGGAGCTAGGACGGGGGTATATAGAACATATAGTGAAAGTGCATTATTTCTTTGAAAATCTTCTTCTCTGCTCCTCGGTTTTAAACAAACTAACTAAGTTAGTTATGATGAGCAAGGGTGCCTTCCAGAATTTTGAGTTTCATGGTTCCTGGGTCAGATGTTCTGGTGCATTAATTGTATAAATAATCCTGTCTGCTCCTTAGTATTGAGCAGATTAACAAAGTGCATAGTTATGATGAGCAAGAATGCTTTTTACAAAATTTCTAAAACTCGTGGTCCCAGGGTCAGGGGTTCTGGTGCTTCTCGGGGAGGGGGGGGGGGCTTATTTATCATTAAGGGAAAATGTGTTAATTCTTTGAAAATCTTCAACTAAGTGCATAGTTATGATGATATGGTTACCTCTTCCATGTTTGTGAAAATCATGACCCTGGGTCATGGGTTCTGGTGTTAGGGTTGGACTGTGTTGAATCTGTAGTGAAAATGCATTATTTCACACGAAACAGAATTTCGAGTATGGATAATTTACTCTTTTTAAGCTTGTCAACATTTTTTTCAAGTAAGTTGTCAATTTTTTTCTGGATACAACCCCCCCCCTTTTCTCAAAAACGATACTATGTCCTCTGTACTAATTTTACTATACCGAGTGATCACTGGAAAATATTTACAAGGGGGGTGGGGGGCTTATAAGGAACCCGATTTGGCATACATCTTATATGGAATCAGTTAAAAAATACCCTGGTCATTTTCCCAAATAATCGTTGGTGAAAAAAATTATACAAAAAGACCTGGTTAGATTGGTATAAAGGAATTGACAATTATTCCTCATATACAGATTTACTTGAAAATTTCATCATTTATAAAGAAACCTGTTCAAGGGAAACGTTCTGTTCTCTATATTTTTCTCTTTTTTTTTATATTTCAGAGTATAAGAAAAATAAAACTTAGATTATACAATCACATAATTATGTAACGTCTATAAAAGGGACATTTTGAGGACTATAAATACTAATATTGAATTCGTTATATGGACATATTTACACTTTAACTACACCAGGAAGAATTTGAATCCGATCATATAAAAGATTGAATTTTGTCCAAAAAAAAAATGATTAGAATAATTTGTCAATCTGAGCATATTAATAATTAATTTGCATTCAAGCTATTTTTGGAAAGGGGCTTTGAAACGGAGGGGGGGGGGGTCTTGAAGATTTTGTAGTTTTCTTCTCAGATTGTAAAACGGAGTACTTATTACGGTATGTGTATTCTTTAAAGTTCTGAAATGATCGATTTTACAGGAAACATGAAAAAATTGACCCCAGATAAAGAAAACAAGTTTCACAGAATTTCATTATAAAAAGATAATGAACGTGTACATACTATGTATGAAATACAAAGTACTAAAATAAACATAGAGTAAATGCATACACGTATGTAAGCTCTGAAAGATTTGCACTGCTTTTCATTTGGACCCAAATACTCTAGTACTACTGTGGGGTTTTTTTCAATTTCGAATTTCTGCTTTTGTCGTAATGACCTTGAGACAAGGTCTTAATCATTCTACGATAATATGCAGCCTTGTGTCAGTCAGAATCTTCAAATTCAACTCCAACACAAGGTCCAGACATAAATGTTACACTTCAATTTATGTAACCTTGATCTTGTTTATATGACCTTGGTTCAGGGTCATAAGCTTATCTGTGACAAGTATGAATCTCAAAAGCTATTTTAAAAGTATGATCCAGGCGTGAATAACACACTTACAATTTTTGTAACATCCACCATGTTTAAAGGTCAAGAGACACCCTCAGAACATAAGCTACTTCATGACAATGAAATCTCCATTATGTTTTTTACTAAAGTTGAAAGACTGCAAACACCCCTCCCCTTTTTTTAGATTAAGACAAAAGAAATCTTTCTCTTCTAGATCCACAATCATTGTCAGTTGTACACAAAATACAAGTGGCCCATGGGTCTTAATGGTCATCTGAGTTTATCAAGTTAAGACTAATTCTATTGACTCAAACAATTTAAGAATTTTACAATTTGGCAACTCTGTGTTCATTATGAAATTCCTGAAACTTATTTAAGATGTTCAGAAATAAATCCAAAGATTTTCCTAGTTAAAATGCGCTTAGCCCCACTCATGGGATACAAAGTTTATGATTTTGTAAAGTGGCCATTGCTTACTGTCATCATGCATACACTCTGATTGCTAAAGCTTAATTTAAAAATAAGATTTTTAAAGGCACACCATACGTATAATAAATCATATACATGACCAACTCAGCCCTACCCTATAGCTTGATCCCTGCACCCAGGAGATCAACTTTACAACTTTTATAGATTTTCAGGGGGTGTTATGTTTGTTCAATATATGACCAAGTTAGCTTAACCTGGGTTTGAACCCAGGATACAATGTTCATGACATCACAGTTCTGGCAGAGAGTTATCTGCTCAGTCGTGAAAACATGAGTCTGATAGATGTCCATGAGTAAATAAGATCATTTCAAGGTGTAAAATTTTCAATATATGACCAACTTAGCCTAATCCTGGGACCTGATCTCCAGAACTATGAGACATAAACACAATTCTGTCAGAGAGCTACCTGCTTTATATAAACATGCAAACAATATGCCTAAGAAAAAGATGACCTGGATTTGAAGATTTTTGTGTAAATTGTTTTGGCTTTGGACCCCATCTTCTCAGTCCCATAGGGGCTGTGACCATGAATTTCCTAAATTTAGCTTTCCCTATCTATAGATGTATATATGCCATACAGTAAAATGTACTTATAGCAAACAAGCTTGAACAAAATTCACAGCAAAGTAATTTTCATTCCCAGTGGTTTTAAATCATATTGTGAACTAAATAATGGATATAACAAATTATGCTTACAACAAAGCAAAATTGTTCATCCTGTCACTTCACTTTAAGAGTGTTAAAACCTTATATTAAAATGGGCAGCTCGAACTAATTCAAGAGAAGCAGCTCAGGTTTATGATGGACTCAGGATGGTTTCTAATCTTCTCCAATACCGAGGATCTCAATATCAAAGCAAAGGACAGAACGCAGTAGAAACTTATTTTTATTACCTTTCAAAGATTTGACATTGCCTCTTAGGACTCCAAAATTCCTGTCCGATTCATCATTGTTTTAGTCTCAATCAGAGAGACACCCTTTTCAGATATCTATATTCAACCAATGAGCATGCGCATAAAAATCACATAGAAAACTACAATTTTTGTATAGGTACCTTTATTGTCATGTTAGATAATATAAACATAAACATGGTATATTTCATACATTTTTGGTACATAATGTACCTCACAACCATTTACAGCAACATGGTGATAAAAAGAGAGGTGCACAGGAAAGGAATATGGAACCTAGAAATTTACGCTAGCTCTAAATTTAAGCTGGCTTAGAGTTATTTAATCAATTTAGCCACAGCATGCAAACTTACGAAAAATTGCTGTATGGTTATTTCATCCTCCAGATTTGCATCTTTGACAGCTATACATTTTCTTATCCATTCTGTGTTTTGATTTCGAGAATGAGGCATGAAGAGTTTAATGGTTGTTAATTAAATATTTATATATAAAAATATACATTGAACACTGAAAATCCCATCACCAAAAGCAAAGGAAAAACCAAACACTACTTTGTAAATTACATTTAATCAGCTTTTATTCATATAGGAAAACGTTCACTGGATGGTTTCTAGCTTTGGTAAATAAATCTATTGGTGTAAAAAATCATCTTATTAAGGCACAAAAAAATATAAATGCTCAGTTGCACAAGCTATGGAACGGTTTTACATAATTGATTCACGTACTGTATATCACTTTTTATTCGCGAGAACTTTATTTTCGCGTAATTACGCAAGACAGTGAGCTCACGAAAATTTCATTCTGGTGTATACTAGTATTTCTTAAGATTATATAGAGGAATAACAGCAATTCGTGAAAACTTGTCTCGGTAATTAAGAGTCAATGACTATCTCGCGAAAAATAAGGGATCGCGAAAATTTAGTGATCTACAGTATATAAAAATAAACATGAATAAAAGCTGGTTTGAAGTAATCTTGCAAATCTACATCTGAAAACACAATGCAATTTTGGGTGCAAATCTTTGGTCTACAGTGAGGTGGAAACTGAAAGCTAAGATTAAATATGAAAGTCATGCATGCAATTGGTTAGTATAGTGCAGTACAAGGAAAAACAGTCTACATTTCTACAGAAAAGTGACAAATATTGCTGTAAATGTGTGTTAATATTTGAAAATTCCATGTCAGATATAATTTGGTTACATTTGCATTTAAAATCATGCAAACTTCTTTCAACCAATGTAAAATTCGTGCAAATAGTTAATAATCAAACACTAATAAACCAATATCTGAAATCAGTGCATGTCATTAGTAGATTAAATAGAGGGTAAAATTCCAGATGTAAATTTCAAACATAAGAGTCAGTTGGGTGTTTTTTGTCTCCTGGGTGGTGCATAGACTAGATTTTTTACTACTAGTTACACAGATTTCTACAGGTGCGATTACACAACACAGGGAGAAACTGCCAATAAGAAAAGCAACACAAAGTATAGCCCTGATTAAACTCAAGCCTCTTCAACTGGCTAATTAAAAAAAACAGTAGCGTTGTCTTTGGGAAATTCCAAATTTGTTCCTGTGTACCTAACTTTTGTACAATGATATATTACATGAATTATTCATCGCTGTTAGACATAAACCACCTGATGGGTTTTGATAAATGTTACATATGATTAATTATGGTTAAGTTTTATAAGGATTCAGAAAAATCAAACATTCTCAATTGAATTATCTCCGAAACAAATTTCAAAATGTAAAATTTCAGGAAACTGCATATATACCAGTAATCAACGCCCAATCCATTGAATATGTAATTAAACTCTCTCATTTGTTAAGGCCTATAAAATCATAAATACATGTATATAAGATACAAGGCTTTAGGAATATACTCTGTAAATGATTTGTGCAAATCAAAAAATGTTTCAAATGTCCTTTCTAAACCCAAAACACTAGTCTGAATAACCAATATAATATAACGTGAATTTCTGAACTCAGTATGATATATGAATATCTATAAATGATGATATACAATTAAATTTATATATATGTATATAATAAAATGTCTATTTATAAACCTATATGATGTATATAAAATTCTTTTATGTCACCTGTCCGCATATTAAAATGTGACAAATCCATCATGAACATAAAAAAAAAAAAATGAACCGACTTTGTCACTTCAGACTTTGATTTCAAATACATCATGCATGTATTTGGTAATGATTATGCACTCACTTTTTTTTTTTATATATACAAGTAAATAAATTCTATATATACCTGTGATACATAGAAACATGTCTAGCAGATTCTTATTTGTAAATTAGACTGATGGAACTTAAGATAATGAGACTTTTGAATAAATGAATATAAACACGATACTCTTTAGAAGGTGAAAGACGTTATGAAATAGACTCATGAGTGTACAATATGCAAACCAGCAGAAAAAAAATATCAAACCATCTACTTCAAAAGCCACATTAAGAAAAAAAGTCAACAATGAAAATTTTATCACAGATAAACTTTGAATCAACAACCGAAGTATCAATAATTAATCAAATTTCAGAAACTGATTATTTCTGTAAATCTCAATTTTTCAAGTATTTTTCTCTAAAGCAAGCTACCGACAAACAAATATAGCACTTTGATTCCTTTCATATGAAAAAAAGTAACTAACTATACACAATAATAAAAAAATCTGTCAGCAGTGAGGGGGTTAATGGAATGTGATATACCATAGCAACCTATCAAAAATACTTGACAATATTGCTATCTTTTAACTTTGTTATAATAATGTTTCTGTACAAAATGATATGTCCTTTACTGAGTGAAAGAGGGAGGTCAATGAATTAAAAGTATCTAAAGTCACCTTGGCGTCGACTTCCACCCTGGGGTGGGGGAGGGGGTGCTGGAGGGGCGGGGGCCCCGTTTGTCTGAATGTGGCTGTTGTATTCTCCACTTGATCTTCTACCCCTTGTCTGAAAATTGCAAAAAAAAATTAAGAGTGAGTAAAAACACATTGTCAATAAAATTTGACAATGATCAGGCATGTTGTAGAAAAAATTTGAACAAAATGGGAGGTCATATTTTTTCTTCATTTGATGTACTATCGTTAGGTATTCATTCCAGGTAGTTAAAAATATTGATATGATTTCAAAACGCATCACTTGCTTTAATAGCTTGGCAAATGGCTTCCTAGAAGCTAATAAATGTAAAAAAAAATGTTAAGAAATAAATAATTCACTCAAGAAATCTTCTTATGAAAAAAAAAAATCACATAGCAAACCCTACTGTAAAGCAATAAATTATTAATCATGCCAGTTAAATCCACACCATTATAAATATAGAGTTTATAAAACCTAACCCCTCCACTTAGACATATTTTTCTTTCTTGTTTTAATATAAGCACATCCCCATGCAAACCAGTACATGTAATATGCAATTTCTTGAGCCATCTTTCCAATACTTAAGATAATTATCAGACTTAGTGATAAGGTGTAGTTTTTCTGGTTTACCTTAGACCATTTTAGAATCAGCTGATATAAATAAAGTACAACTGTATATAATACAAGTCTATTCACTGTATATAATACGAGTCTATATTTACAAGTTATACATTTTGGATGTAAAGTTTGCATACATATGCCCATGGAAAATCCCTCTCAAATATTACTTGATCTTGAACAGTTTTCAACATACATATTTTAGCTATTTTTTCATGCAATAATTTCAAAAGGCCACTTCCAATAGTTTGCTTTAAATTTCAATCCCATACATCACTACATACATGTTCTATTTTATAACATCTACCTTAACATAAAGAGAGGTACTGTTTGACTGTAATTTTGGACAGAAACCCCAAATTAACAACCCTATAATGTCTACCAGTACATAATAAATAATAATAGGTATATTGATTATTGTTTTATGCAATTTTGTCACACCTTGACCTATTTCAATTTGGAGGGACCTCAAGTGTTACAGGTAACAAATACTGGAAGAAAAAAAAAATGTCTCCATGACAATTATCTTCGTTAAATATAGTGCACAATCTAAATTTTCCATGCACATTAATATTTTTATTGTCAAATTTCTTGTGATAAATAAATACTTCTTTTTAAATATAATTTTCCATATCAAAAAAAAAAAAAAAAAAAAGAAAAGAAAAATTGTCAAAAAGTTCATTCCATAAAGTGAGGAGATTTTTTTTTGGTCAAAAACAAAACCTTTCTTACTACATTTACCTGTTCTTAGACAGAAAATGATTTACATAAAGATTGAAAAAAGGAAAATTAATCAAATATAATAGAGTGATTTCAGAATACAAAATTGAAAAGGAAAATTAGCAAAGTTCATTTTCCATGAAGAAATGTTACTATAAAATATGGAATAAGAGCATGTGTTAAGTTTCTATTTCCAGGAAATCTACTGGTGTCAATGGATTTAACTACACAGACACACAAATTGAAACTTAATAAGACAACATAGCAACTAGGAAACACAGCTGAAATCTAGTCACAACACCATCTATAAATCTAGTCAAGAGTTAGAAACTCTACATCACTTAAAACTGATCATCTAATGATGTTATAACAGGAACCCCTAGTGAATTATGAGTCCTAATTCATAATTACCATCAAATGATCCCAGGCCCTCTGACAATTCAAAAACAGATGATTAATTTTGAAAAATTTCTGTTCATTTTTTTGGTATGTGCAAGTCTGTACTGCTTACTAAAGACATAGTGGTACAGAGAGATACATAAATGTAACTAAGTTAAATAAGAAATGATGGTCAGAAAAAGTCACAAAAACACTCATGCTGCTGCTAAAATCTGAATTTGATTCAAATTCTTTTCATTAACCTCAACGACAAATAAAGCACATAATATGGCCATAATTCCATACCCTGACCAATGCATTAAAAATTTTCTCAACGCTATTTCAGCACATTTACAATAATTTACACAGGAAAGCTCTTAGGATACAATGATCCAAAGGTCTGATGAACGTTCCTTAAAAATGAAGTTAGTAAGTTTGTGCAATAACAAAATTCCTATGTGTTTATGTTAGTCTACTTGGTCACGTGTGAGGACAAAAATATAACAAAAAAATATAATAAAGCAGCTAATTAACCAACTCTAATAAATGAAATGTTAATGATATAATTGACATCAGCTGACTAGTAAAGTCCAGTCGGACAAGCTTGATATGGACAGCCGAGTGTTACATTGACTATACGTAATGACTCTCTTGGTGATACAGACTACAGGATTCTTACTGTTGAATCACACTCTCCCATACTGGCCATTTAATGCTGTCTACTAGAGCGCAACCCCTGGCAAAAAAATCAGTGATTGGTTGTTCTCGTCAATATATTTTTGAAAATTTCGATTCAATATTAAGCTTTTTTTTACCAGCATGGAAGCATATACAAACTTTCAAATCAATGTTTCATTCATAACATATATAAATATTACATATTCTGTGTAATGGGAAATTGAGTCATTTTATCTTGGACAATTGAAAGGCATTTTCTTAATTTTCAACAAGATCAAAAATTTGATTCCATATGAACCTTAATTTGTTCCATTATTTTGCAAATTGAATGTTGTACAGATAAGACACAGAATTGAAAATTTCCCAAAATGCAGTACAAATGTTTTATAGCTGAAAAAAAGCAGCCATTTTTTCTGAAATGACTTTTACAGTAAGTTTCTAACTTTAGTCATAGTGAAGCTAATCTGTTAGAGTGCTAATATCAATTTCTTTGGTCAAAAAAGAAAAAAAAATCTGAGTAAATTGGGGTTTATAAGCTGTTTGGAACTATGCCTAATTCCACGATATAATGAACCTTGTGTTAAAACATTATAACATGACTATTGCAGTAGGTGCTCAGAGCTGGTCAGAGTTATCTACCTTGTCCATCTCCATATCAGAAGCTGCATATTCCTTCAGAATTGTGTAGGGGGCATAACCAATGTGACCTTCATGGTTTTTCAACTTCCACCAGTTCCTGGAATCATCTAGGACCTAAAATTGATTTTAAATTCAATTTCATAGCAGAGAAAGACAAAATCATGTCAAGTTGTATTTTACCTAGGACAAATTTTTTTAAGGAAGCATTTTTCTTTTACAGAATGCACTGAAATCTTTGTTTAGCTGGAGTACTGCATACAATATAATTTACTGTCTATTAAATTAAGCATATCTCCTGTTGTTAAATTTTAAGGGTTACAATAACTTATCAGAAGTCTACTAAATCGAGCATGTCTATGTTAACTGGGATAAAAATTTTCATTTAACCCACCTGCAATAAATCTCCCTTCTCCACTGTGATTTCTTTGTTATTTCTCCCCTGACGATCATGAACTGCTTCCATAACCCTGAAAGAGGTCCAAAAGAAAGACAATTTAATTCCCCTTTAAAACAACACATTTCTCCTACTATTTTGATCATGTACATACTGTGTGTATAGATAATTAAACATGATTCACTATATTCAAATAAAATTAGCAAATAAACTTTAAATGTTGAAATATGTCTTTTTTTTTCTTTGTGAATGAATAAATTTAGCGCAATCTTCCTTGTCAAATAATTAGCCTAATCATGAAATGGCACATTCCGATCCAAGCTTCTACATGTATTTGTTTTAATCATATACTGTATTAGCATGTACTTGAATTAGCAGACAAGAAGCAACACAAAATGCACTAAAATATGATTACTTCTGAAATAAGTATGTTTACAGTATGAGAATCCATGCTTTAGACTACGAAATTTGGGGATAATATCCACAATTCGAATAAAATTTACGAAAGGATACATAACATTAAGAAGACAAAAAGGTGTTTACATGTGAATTTCAAAAATTGCCTCATATTTAAATTGTGCATGCTAAGAGTGGGTGTGGCTATCACTCAGTAACAGATATCAAGTCATTTTTTCCCCCCCAAAAAACATGAACTCATTTTTATTCATTGAAATACATGTATTGGATGCAGATATGGGAGGAAATTCTTACAGTCCTAAAAACTTCACTAAATCATGAAAATAGCTTGTTTTAAAATTTAGTTTGTCCAAAAAACTCATAAGTCCCTGCACTGACTTTCACTAATGACCTTAAACATCTTAATAAAATTATAAACATAGTTTAAAGATCTTTCAAACAAAAAAAAAAGGTAACATAAAAATAAACATAAAAAAAACATTAAAAAATTCTATTTGGTCAATTGTGTAAATGTGAAAGAATTCCAAGACAGACAAACATCAAAGTGATTTTTCTGGGTGTATCCCCCATTTCAGGAACATTTAAAAGCTACAAGAAAATCCTCACTCACTTTCCATTGGATCTCAGAACGTCCTGTGCAAACTGAATGTTCTTGTCCTGTCTGGTCAGAACTCGGGGCTCGCTCATTCTGGGCTCATGTACCTCCCTGTTTCTGTACAAACCATACAAATACATTAGCTTTTACTGCTATCATTCATTGTCTAATGAGGATAAAATATTGCTAATTCATGAAATTATAAAAAAAATTTCACTATAGAAATATTCTGACAACTAGTATGAATAGATGGACTTCTAAATTATTTACATTCTTTCCACTTTAAAATATAGAAATATAAAGATAACTCTAGAAGTCAAAGTGTGCAGAGAAAATCAAGATGGAATATTTCAGGAAGTCAGTAAAACATGCTTGTTACTGAGGAAATTCGGACTAAAGTGTGTTACATGGTACACATATTTACACAGACTACTAATAGGACAGTACATGGTACATGTACACTGAACGATATTTATAAACACTATCCGTGATTGTGTAGTAAGATAATGTGTTAGAGGTAATCAGACAAGTTAATTATTGTAGGAGATGTAGGACTTGAAACCTTAACCTTAAATATCAGTGTGTAGACTTACCAGTACAATTACATAAACAGCAAAAGAACATACAAAATATAGCAACATCAACTAATATACTAGCAGTAAATATGTTGTCACATACATGTACTGCAATATCATTGTAAGACTTGAAATAACTGACAACAACAAAAGCATTCTCAGTCCCCCCCCCCCCCCCCCCATTTAAATAGTTTAAATTGAAAATAGTGTATGTAACAACAATTACTAGCTTTCCAAACATTCAGAGAAAATGACCAAAAGAAATACTGTTTAAGCATTATTCCACAAAAATTTGAAATAAATAAGCCATACTTTGCTCACATGAAATAAATTTAATATCTAATATCTTCTCACTGAATGTTTGTTGATGAAAAAGTGTCTGTGAGACAGACCTATTAATGTGTTGCTCAACATGCTCCTGATACCGTGCAACATTAGGGTTAGTAAAGGGGACCCCAGGAGGGGGAGTAGAAGGACGCTTGGTCGACCTTGCGTAGTTATCCTCAGGGGGTCGGCTGTATTGATCGTATCGAGTTGAACGTCCTATGTAATTCCTATCTTCATCACGAGTTGGTGGGAAGGGCATCACCAATTCTCCTCCCTGCAAAAATTTATTCAATTACCAACATAAAACTTTTATTTGTCATCAAACTGTATATAATGTACATCTAATACATCTATGTGAGTCAATTTTCAGTTGGGGCTTGGTCCTTCTTCTTGTCATGCATGCAACAGATACTAACACCTGGGGTTTTTTTTCTCGTACAATTAAAAGAGCATCCCATATCAAAAACTATACATATAAATTTAAGTTTGAATATATTTAAGAAATAATGTATCATTTTTAAACATCTATCGGGATATAAATACGGGTTGGTCACGAGATCAAATTCCATAAAGCCCGAAGGGCTTTATGGTAAATTTGATCTTGTACCAACCCGTATTTATATCCCAATAGATGTTTAAAAATGATACATTATTACTCATATTTACATTTATGACTTACTCATATTTTATATTTTCCTGATTATAATCCTTACGCATGAAGTGTTTTATTTTTCAAACTCAACGGCACGTATTTGATCCATTGATTCCGCGTTGACCCTTTATGACGTCACTGAGAAATTACGTCGAATGTTTATGACGCGAGGAACCCGTGTTTATACGGATATAGATATGCGTTCCTTTTAATAGTGTTATATAAAAGAAAACATTTGCAAATGTAAATATTTTGCAGTATTAGAAGCACAATGGACTGAGCACACATTTGGAAACTTATTACACCATATGGCATTAAGTGTACTGAAGTCCTAAATTCTGATGTATCTTGTACCTCTCTCCGTACTCTGTCCTCAATGTCACGGTCTCGGATCTGTCTCTCATGGTTCATTAAAGCATCCTCCATCCGACTTCTGTCTATCCTGTCCACTGGAGCAGACATCGCTGGGGCCCAACCATTGTAAAATCGAGGCATGTAGGTGTCTCCATAATTATCCCTATAATATATAAAAATCATTACAAAAGGTTTCATCTTCACTGCAAGGCACTTACTGTAAATCACTTATTTGCAAGAACTTTATTTCAATCTGCATAACTACACAAGATGGTCTGCTCTCAAAAATTTCATTTTCCTGCATATTTTTATTAGTATCGATTATATACAACAATAACCAGAATTCGTGATAATTTTGTCTCGCTTATAAATACCAAATACCCATCTTATGAAAATACGATGTCATGAAAATTCAGTGATCTAAAGTACTTTTCACAAATCATTATATCAATAATACATGCCTTTAAAATCTCAGAATTATTTTTATTGAAAAAATTCAAGACATCATCAATTCTTCTGTAAAATGTATGCGTAACACATAAACCACAGTATTTATTAACAAAAGACCGAATACCAACACTGGTATCTTCTTACCTGCTGTTTGTCCAAGATTTCCCAAGAGACTGCCACAATTCCAATTCTTTAGATGTCAAACAGTTCAGTAACAATTGCTTAGCATCCTGTGTAATGGCTGGCCTTGTTGCACTCTCAGCAAGGTCACGACCCCCATGCACAGGGTCACGACTAGCCTCGTATATTAAGCTCAGTGGTGTGAATAAAAAGTGAACAAGCTCTGGGGCATTGGGGTCATGTATGTGAGCCTTTAGTTTAGCCAGCAAGTTAAATGCGAATTTGAATTTTTCAAAAATGTCAATAAAGTCATCTGCTGGCGGTGGTTTTGCTCTCATATTTAGCATGCCTTCTGTAAATGAAGATTAATTAATTACTTCCTCATATTCTTGTATTTCATAAAAACTGAAGACAGTTAAAATATTAATGTTATCTATTTAATTCAATTTTTTGATTTCCCAGATGATTTACATATCATTGTGTTAAAAAATTTTAACATAAAGTAATGATGTAAATAACTGTGATTGAACAGCACTTATGTTACTTAAATTCGATAGAATCACATGAATTTCAGAGATTCAATAATCAAACTACTAACCTCCCGACTGTCGGCTGTTTTTGGACTTTTTGTTGTTGCGATCTTTCCTTCGCCGTTCCAATTCTTTGTACGCCTCTGCAGCTTGCTGTAGCCTGGACACAAACTTCTCTATGTCATCAAAGCAGGCATTCAACAGTTGCTAGAACAAAAAAAAATAAAAGATTCCTAATGCTTTTAAAGATTTGTCAGTATCAGGGTTTTTTTCTACCAATTGGGAATGGTACCCAATACCGATTCAATTGGGAAAAAAGTGTCGAAATATTACAAAGTGTCAAAATATAACTGGGAATTTTTTTTTATTATTTTAACAAATAACATTTATTCTAAAATAATTAGCTATTAATCATTGATTTAAAGAATAACCAACAAGAACTGTTTTACAAATTAATATCCCTTGTTCTGTTTTTTTAAAGATGTCAATATTGACAGACACTTGCAATATATGCCATTGGGCTGTCTACATCATGCATCTCACCACACCTATATTACTTTCGATTTAAGAGGAAGTGAAAAATTCAGTTAACCTGTGTATTTCATACTAAGCGAACTACCATTTCAACTGTGGGGCAGTGTATTACTCAGCAGTTGAATTGGGAATTTTTATAGTCAACGTCTTTTGGCACTGGGACTGGTACCTGTTTATCAGATTTCTTTACTGTAATTTTAATAACTAAATCATAAGCTGGAGCCTTACTGATCAATTTAACCCATGATAAAAAAGCAAGACTTAGGCAATTTAACTGCAAGAGTCACTAATTTGAAAATTGAACAAAGTATTTTTTGTCAAAGATAAAATCATTCTCAAATGGTATTTAACCCATGTTAATTAAAATAACATAGTTTGCAAGGCTTTGTAACTTACCACATCCCTTTCGAGAATTTCATTCTGGCCACTGTCCATGTCTGTGGGCATGTAGGAGGCTCTATTACTCTGTCCAAATCCACCCCCTGCTCTACTTTGTCTGAAGTCTAAAAATATAATCAAACTCTAGTCTCCGTTAATCGCAACAGCTGGCACCTTGTGAATAAATAACAATTCAATAATGATCTGTTCCCAACCTGTACAGGTTAATAAATATGTACAACCCTTGTGTGTAATCAATTACAACAGTTACTCCAAATAAATAGCCCAGATTTGCTGAAAAAAAGATCTGTATGGAGTAAAATTCTGAGCTACAATAATCCAGCAATGACTGGTCAACAGTGACCACTAGGGCCTGGACAGCTTGAACACTCTGTGCTACAGCAGTTTTTGCCTGAAGTGTGTTGTGAATCTGATCTCTGGTATCTGATCAAGTGACACATTACCAAGGCTATAATTTACTTATCGCCTCTTTATAAATTCATGAATATTTTGTTATCTTTGTATATTCTTCTACATTACTTACATGTACATAAACAATACTAGCATAAAAATAGATCCAAGATGCATTTTGTCAAGGCTATGCTCCAAACCCTTTTCAATTTTTTATTTAGTATGATCAGTATTTGAATCATAAATCGACTATGAAATTAAAATCCTTAAAATGGTAAAACAAAATACAACATCAAAAAAAATAAAGCATTGCAATATGAACAATATTTGAAAAGATGGAACATCTACAAGTTTGAAATATCTAAAGAAAAAATTCTATTTAGTACCTTAATGAATTTATCATAGTCAAGAAAATATGTGCATAAAAAATGAAAAAAGAAAAATTTGTAAGACTTAAATTACTAGTATTAAGGTATGTCACTCGTGAAATTTGTTATATCAAGGATTTTTTGAGAAGTATATTTTGGATAAGTACTCATATAGTATGACTCAAAATCGCAGAGAAAATGGGGGGTCAGTGTGCATCTAACTGAGCTACGGTACAATTAAGTTGACCTTTTTGCACTTAAATTGTAACTCTTTGGTTACTCACTTTAACCGTTATCATATTTTTTAAGATGTAACCATGGCAATAAACATAATCTTATTTTACGTAAAATAGTTTGAATAATATTTATCATTGAACAAATAATGCAAATTAATGCGCGAAAATTATTGTGTGACCTTTTTGTACTAAACAAGTCTCATATTTGGGGTATTAAAAATCTAAATAGCAATAGAATATTTTCTTGTATCAAACTTTTTACGACTTAAGTGCTGATCGGTCAAAAGTATCGAGTAGTTTAAAATAATGAAAGAAAAAGTTGGGGTCAGTGGTGTTAATTTTGAAATATTGGTCAAAATATGCGATTTTCAGGCAAAAAACTGTGTAAATTTTGTCTCGCCTTCCTTAATATATCTTCATTGCCTGGCAATGTTTGTTGAGCGAAGGTGTAAATTTTGTTATAAAAATATAAATTGAGACCTATATTTAATATTCCAGGCATATCATAACGGAAAATATTCTCTGAGTAAAAGTATGTGAGGCTAAAGTTCCAAGATATTAAATTTAATATATGTGTAGATTTGCAGAATTTTCTGCTAAATATCCTTCCGCCACAAGAAATAGTCCCTTATAAATCTTGCTTCTTTGTGAATTTTTGAGCAGTTTTTTTAATTGAATGTTGAACATTTTACATTGTTTAATTTAAATATGTTATAAAGATTGAATTGTAATAAATAGTTTTTAAGTAAGAGGTTCTGACTGAAATTTTCTTAAAGGCTGACGAGTGACATACCTTAAATTCAACTTCAAATCAGCTAGAGTTTGTTAGGTATTGAGAAAGCTTTGCAACACACTTCCTCCCCCCTTCCAACTTCTTCCATATCATTGTAACAATTTTTTTCCTGAATGTTGTGTTTTTTTTATCTTACTAATGTAAATTTACCTACCTTACAATAATTAATCTTAATCTTAACAGAGAAGGGTTAGTAACCAGCATACTAAGATCTTTATCAAAGTTAGTAAATCTGCTACTTTCTCCTACAATATCACTTCACGACAACCCCCATACCCCTTAAAAACCATTCAAGCTCTGTTAGTTGGCATAAGCTTTTTTTTAAGGTTAAAACATTCTGTATTTCAACATTTGCAAATTTCTAATGAAAAGAAATCTTTTTCTGCACGAGACACATGCTCAATTATCTTTAAAGGTGCAAACTTTGGGTTTTTTTTTTCTACCTCCATTTCCTCTACCGGCACATGCGTTTTTAGTTAATTCCTAAGTTACTGCAGTGAAAAAAGGCTGAATTTGCAATGACATGCAGCAAGCTTTAGGAAAACTCACTAATTTCATCATCTACGAAATTATTGGCTTGGTTTTCTCGTTCTCTACCGCCCTGTTGTGAGTAGAAATCACTGCGACCAAGCCCTGCATTCTCTTTCAAGTAAGTTTCTAGAAAAATAAAATTCCCATTTTTGTTCAAAAACTCTTTAAATCGTAGCCCTTGATTTGCTTTACTTATTTTTATCCTGAGACTGAAAGTAAAAGTAACTGATGTGCACAAAATTTAAAATACAACAACACTGGTAACTGAACATGTTGAATAAAAAATACATGTAGTGTACACAATTGAACACATGTATAGGTACATGTATATAAAATATTTTTACATCTGAAGACTCTATATACATACATGCTATATATTTACTAATTCCTTCAACCCAAATAATGATGATTCAATTCAAATTGTGTGCAGCATTACTAAATACATGCATGTACATACTACATTTTTTTGAATATTTAAAGAGTAAAATCAAAGGAAAAGGTGATATAGGTAGATAAATTTCTTGCAGGTACAACTACATACTTGTTAAATGTACAAAACAGAAGTTACAATACCATAACAGTGGATTTTTCACATATGCATAATCCCAATTTTCAAATGGGAAAACCGTCCAAATAGATGCATTATTATATATTTTATGTACAATATATATTCATGCATGCCAGTTTAATTCAGCCCTTATTACCGGTAATACATACATTTAAATCACAATTCCCTCTCCTTTACTACTAAGGTAAGCATTCCATTATGTGATATACCGACTTTACGGACACGGTACTGAACCCCATCAAAATTTTATCTTGTTCTTGCATGCATGACTCAGAAATCACTCACTACTAGGTATTGGAAATCGGATGAAAAGGGCCTTACCACAGTTTAGGAAAGTCATATAAGCATTTTCTGATGGAGTTGGACTTTTCATCTCTGGATGGATTAAATGTTTTAAAATGAATTTTTCTCAAAAATATTATGAGCAAACTTTGCAAGGTAAGAAAAACATTTCCAATTTCATGACGCAAAATTCACTTTATCTTTCACAACATTCACTTGAAACAGAAAACATCTGGTGTATCTTTATAACTCATACTTGATTTCTTTTTATTGCATGATACCTAAACCATAAATTCTACCCATTCATAAAATACCAAATATATTTCATACACATAATATATCTCTGCCCATTATTTGGTTTTCACTTGGATAATAGGTCATACATATATCATATAGAACTACAGAAGGCATTCAGAATCCCTCTCCATTTTACTAAATGTGAATATATGCAGGTACATTTGGAGCCCCTTGTCTCTCCAGCTTAAAATATCAGGACAGACGTGTGACATGGCAGCCAGACAAACACAGCAGTGACCTCACTTACTTTGGTAGTTTTGGCTGGATTTGATAAATTCCTGATTAAAATCGGCAGAACTGGATGAGAACTGCCTGCGTGTGACAGTAGGCCTCCCAATGACCCAATGACCAGCTGCAGCCATTAGAGAAAAGAAACTCTTGTCATATATAGGTGTACTTTACAATGTACTGTTTTAGACCAAAATGTTGAGAAAACTTCCAACCAAAAACACTAGTACACAACCTTTCTTAACACTGACATCATCAAATGAATTTTTATGAAACATTCCATGAAAACCAGCAGTATAGCTTTCAAGTCACATTTGAATCGTATGCAATACCGTTGAAAAAACATTCAATTTTACACTACAATTCTTCCAAAAAAATTTAACTCTTTGAGTTATGTGAAATATACATGTATGTACATGCCATATCATTATCATGCTTGGCATCAATCACAAACTACATGAACTGAAAAAAAATATTAAAATGTCAGTCTTCAATTGTAACATTCCAAACCTGAAAATTTCCTACTCATCCCAAACTCACGCATGCACTGAAGTTAGAGGTATTCATAAGTTAATTTTTATGGAATTAATACTTGCATAGATTAACTTATCCTCAATCAAGTTGCCATACCCCGGTTACATATTCTAAGGGAGGTTACTCTCATTTACCTTCATCCTGAATGTCCAAATGTTTAAAATGTGTTTCTATATTTTGCTTGCTGTCTGTTACATCTTTAAAACATAAAATATTGCTGAAACCCGAGTTTCTTGCTTTACCTGCTTGTACAAGTACATAACAATACTATTCTCAGAAGCTCTTGTCGAACATATATAAAGGCACCATAATCACTTAAGGAGTTTGCTGTTTACAACTTAAATGTCATTCTTAACCAGAAACTTATGACCAATGTGAACAGACACAAAAATTGGCAAACCAAAATAAATTCACTGCTGATTTTCCATCTCAGGGGGCATTACAAATATTTCACATGTATTTAAAATATTCAAAATTTTAGAGAAATTACAATGCTTACCATCTCCAAATCTAGGTGGGTTGGGGGCAGGACCCATAGGTGGAGGAGGAATTCTCTGCCTGTAATATACCAACTCAGTTCAAAATCATGGCCAAAGTTTAATTTACAGATAATAATTTTTTTTCTAACTTTATACCAAAAACATAGATAATCAGAGATTACAGAGCTCACCTCAACAAATGTTGTCTTTAAGTAAGGCAATGTCGAACACTAAACTAATAATCTAGTAGTGTACATCCCTAGATGTAACATTTAGGCAATTTTGGTCTGATAGGGCTTGCAATTACTTGAAAATGGACCTACCTAAAAACTTAAAACTAGTCACTCAAACAGAAAATGTAAGTCAAATCCAGCATCTGAAGCAAATTTGAGAGTGTTCATCCCATAATGCATCATCCATGCAAGTTTGGTTCAGATAGCCCTTATAGTTTCTTTGTAATGGACTTGCTCCAAAAACTTAAACCTGGTCACTCATCCAGAAAATGCAAGTAAGATACAGCATCCAAAGCAAGCCTGGTAGTGTGCATCCTTAGATGTATCATCCTTGCAAGTTTGGTCAACATAGGGCTCATAGCTACTTGAAAATAAGATCTGTTCCACAAATTTTAACCTGATCACTCATCTGGAAAACGTAGGTCAGATCCAGCATCCAAAGCAAGCTTGGTAGTGTGCATTATTAGATGTATCATCCATGCCCAGGGTGGGTCAAGTTTGGTCAATATAGGTTTTATATTTATTTGGAAATGAGTCCTGCTCTAAAAATTTAAACTGCTCCAAAAATATTAACCTGGTCATTCTTTAGCTGAAATTGCAGCATCTGAAACCTTGACTGGTACAATGAAACATACTAGAAGCATCCTTCATGTATCTCTGATTAATACAGGGCACAGAAGTACTTAAAAAGAAATCTGTTCCAAAAACTTGAACCAGGGACGCTGACTCAAATGTCAACGTTGAGGGTATTACATGAGCTCCCCCCAACTTCATTGAGGTGAGCTAAAAAGTTAAAAAAAATATACCTTCACTATGGTTTTTAACTTTAATTTCTCTATCTATGAAAATTATCCTTTTATGGGAAGTCTTATCTATGTATTATTTTGTATATTTACCCAAAAGAACCTGTGGGTCTGCCATCCTTTGCTGCCTGAATTTCATCTACAATATCCTGTGCCTAAAAGAAAAAGTAACCTTTTAAACTCCATTAAATAAGGAAATCAATCAATAGAAAAGAATGAGGAAACACCAAAAACACATCCATTTCCACTTGTCAAGGGTTTCTGATGCACTTCCCACCACATAAATTCTAGACCTAATTTGAGATCTTTTTCATGAGCCAGAGGAGGGATTTGATTACTGATATTGTTTGACCAATCAACACTGGGTCTCTGTTTGGAATGTTTCTTGACCTATGCTCTTTTCTCCATGGATTGAAAGGCTTAAGTAAATAATAATCTTTTAAAAAACAATTTGGCTATACATGGTTCTATAAATGATGATGGATTTGAATAGTAAATTGATGTGATTATAATGTAATCTTGTGTTTATAAAATTTCAGATATATATATATAGGCTTGCATCCTATAAAATAGTCATTGCTCAATTCCTTATCAAATATTCGTTGCATACTCCGTTTTTAAAATGCCTTATTTTTTGTCTAACAAACAAGTTGGGATTTGAGAAAATGTGACATAAGAAATCTTGACTTTTATACGACACACAAGGCCAAGGGTTATGAGGAGAGAAGCTTATCAGAAACTCTTGCCTAACAAAGATGAAAAACACCTTACAGAGAGTTGTGAAGGTGGAAATGAAAAAGTGGAATAAAAGACATACAATAACCTAAAGGTTTCATAATTAGACAAGAATTAAGTGGAAAGTGGAAATGGTGCCAAGGGCCTGAGTAAGTAAGTGAAGTAAGAAAAAATTTTTCCTCGTGAACATCTGACAAGATATCTTTTATAAGCATTTTAACATTCAAAAAGCATAATTAAATTTAATCTTTCCCATAAAGTATAATTGAAAACAGATACTCTATAAAATTTTTTTGACTAACCCATTAGAAAAGTAGTACTCTTGATATGCATATAATTATAATAATAATTTAACATATTCAGTGATACGAGACTTACCGGGGCCATAATACTCTGGAAAATATGCATGTCAGAGGGACCGTTTTTCCGACGTGGATCCTCAATAACTGTGAACAGTATCAAGTTGGTATATATTTCCCTTTTATCATCCTTGAATATGGCCGTAGGTTCGTGAACAAGCTCAATGGGAAATCGTTCTAGTTCCTCCTAAATAGGTAAACAAATATTGTAATTTTGGATGACAATATTATTTAAGAAATAAGGTATCAATTTAAAACTTTTATCGGGATGTTAATATGGGATGGTCATGTGATCAAATCCCATAAAGCCCGAATGAATGTCTTCAAAATTTCTAATACTTTTTGACTTTTCTTATTTTTATACTGACCTGTGATATCATAAATATAATGATACTCAAGACAAAGAATATACTCTGAACAACTGTCCTGTTATTCTATCACAAACTTTTTTGTGATGATGGACTATGATATACTTCATCAATTTTGATAGCTCATCCTTGCTAGTTTCCAAAATTTATTAACGACACATCTGAAGCAACTGCTTTAAACTACACAGATCTGTAACAGACTTACCCCATTACTCTTGTCAATGATTACGAGTGTGTTGCTATTTTTTTCCACTATCATGACACATCTCATGGTCCAGATTCCAGTAGAGCTTTCCATCTGCCGCAGCTTCCGTAATCCATCCTCTGCTGACATTGGTCCTGTAAAATTATACGTCAACAGCTAATGAGCAGCTGTGTAAAAACCTTAATCTTGCCTCTGATAAAAATCTTGAATTTCCTTGTCAATTTTTTTGTGCCCCCCACCCCTCTTTGATAATGAGCCTGTCTTGTGTTTATGTCTCTCACACTAAAGCAATCTATGACATTGATCAACCTGATATTTTTCTGTAGACAGTCAGTAATAAACCTTATAATAGTGACCTACTGACCAGATATCAAATCAATTTCTCCCCTCCATGTGACCTACCAACCTGATATCAATTCCATATGGCATTTTCACTTGATCTCGCAAGAGACCTAATAACTTAAGTCACATGAGCTTCAGACAATATCACAATGCAAACAAAGGCTAAGAAATCCTTTGCTTAAGAGAAAATTAACTTTCTTGAAAAATTAATGGCAGGATAAATTTGTTATGTAGACACTTAGAGGCATAATACAGAAATATATGAGGTCCATGAAAAAATGCATATTGGTCGTATGCCATTCCCTATATGCATTTTTTCATGGACACCATATATTTCCATATTACTTCTCCAAGTTTCTACATAACTAATGATGCAAGGTTGCATGCAAAATTCTACAACATTCCTTCCTTGCTGTGAAGGATCACTTTATGTGTTTCTTACAATATTCAAGATCTCATTATGGAAGTCAAGCCAGGATGTGAATTTTTTTTCAGCTCTCATATGTACCAAATCTTTTTGATAATCAGTTATATCAATGTATTTATGTGCTATAATTTCTAAATAACTTTCAGATAGGGAAATATTAACTCCAAACCCCCTTTAGAGTAAGTTCTACAGTTGGTGAGAAAATCAAGAATTTACCTGTTTTGGAGGAGAATGTAGCGAGATGGTCCAGCTCAAACTCATTTTCTCTCATGTCTCTTGTGTCAAATCGACCGTCAAAGCTGGATCTATCTACTAAAATAAATGAAATAAATCACTAAATTAGCTTATCATATCAAATCATACTTTTTTTTAATAAATCTTGTAAACATAAAGCAATTTTCTTTGTTTTTGCCTTCAATCAGACACAGAACTGAATACAAGTTTAATAAATTTGAATGTCTCAAACCAATATTTTTTAATATACATATGAATGATATATGGTGGAAGTCTAATAACAATAGTTGTTATTTTATACTTCTGTAGTTTGATTTCATCATGCTTGACTTATCCCCACTATACACTCCTTAACTTATATATGACTGCATTTTTTTGTTCATCCAAAATATGCACAAGTCTGTGTGAAAATTACAATGAAATTATTTGACCTGCCATAGCCCTAACAGATGTGGATATAATCAATGAGGGTCTTTCATATACATTCTATGATGTAATCTATTTCAAACTGTTCCGGGTAAATCATACATTGTCAGAAAAAAAGAAATGCTACCACAAAACTTCCAAAATTTGACCAATCGTCAATTACTACCGATATTAAAATTTCAAAATTTTTTATGCATTTTGGTTTTTTTAGCCTGAGTGGGTGGTACAAGTTTTGGCACCAATAGAAATAGCAAATATTATGGCGAGGGGGAATGAATGGTTACTCACTGCAATAATTCACGAGTCATGATTGATCTCCATCAATAGAAGGAGTACCTGGACACACCTAGTTTACGTACTGTTTTGAAATATATCTAAAGCTACGTAAATATTACCACATGCCTGACAATATAATCTGTTCCCTTTAGCTATAGATCAGTGAACTTATCCATAGATAATTCACCACTGACCCGAATCCTATGACCAGACATTTAAACACTGGTCCAGTAAGTGGGTTCAGTGTTCAGTTTATCCAGGAAATATAAACATTTGACTGATTGAATATAAAATATTTACAGCACCAAATCAAAATAATGTAAGTGTTAAAATACTAATGCTTCTGATAAAAATAAAAATTACATATTAGTACAAAAACAGATTGAGGAATTTCAAGAGATTATACATTATATAAAACACAAATTGCTCAGTATGATGTCATTCTCAAAATAAGACTATAAAATTCATTCACAATCCACTGTTTTAAATTTTAGATGCCTCAAAAATTTGAATTATTACAATGTCTCATAAAGGTGTTTTACAACATGCACGCAGGTGGAGACATTTAGCCGTAGGCCCTTAAATTAACACTCATATAACATGATATAAAGCGACTTGTTTCACATAACAAAGCTATGATAAATCTTGGCTTACCTTTAAAGTTGTTACATGTCAAAAAACGTGTAGAAAAAAAATTCCCATCCCCAATACACACAGATACACCCAGGGCCTAAACAAATTAATAGACTCCCAAGAACATTAAGACCTCTCAATGATGGGTCCCTGGTTCAATATGGCTTGTAAACAGATCATTATCCTAACAAGATCTGGGCCTACAGGTGTCTTAAGAGAGCCCAGTGGACAATGTCCATCAAAGTAAAAAAGGCTTGTAAAAATAGAAATCAATTAGGAGCCATCATGTTCTCTCTTTATGTCAGTGTGTCAGGACATTGTATATATATAGGAACAACCCAATGTTCTTCAACAGTGATCATAATTAGTTTAGATATATATGCTTATCATATTTTATCAAATATCTAATATTTTAACTTCAAAAAGTTGGATTAATTACTTTAATACTGTACTAAGCAAAAATAATATGTGTGCATTGAACTATCTGTTGCAATAATTTTACTGACAACATTAAACAACAGACCATTGCAATTGGGTTCATAAACTATTGTGCTGTGTCAGTGAGTTATTTTTGATGTTTTGTAATTTTTTCCGCTATCATTTCATATTTCCTACATCACTAGCTCCAACAACGATCTGGTGACAACTTTGAGTAGGTATTACTTGCCTTGCACCTAAATTGTGTATTCTTTTATTTACTGAAATTTTGTTTGAAGTATTCCCAACATATAATGATACTGAATATAAAGATAACTACCAATTCAAGAAGTTTTATCACATGTCTTTTCTTTTGTAAATCAATATTAGATTCTTGATATTTTTTTCAGGTATTTCCCCATTTAAACAAATTATCCTCACTTTCAAAGCAATCTCTTTATCTGTTCCTTCTAAATCTTATCTACACAAGTCCGACAATTTATTTCCTTTCGAAAATTCTTTTCAGTGAATTCCTGATAAAAAATCCACCTTAACTACTACATTGTCTCCAAAACTCCATGAATCCTGAATCTCATAAAATATTGAACAAATAAAACTATGCCTCATTTGAAATACCAAGGACCCAAGTGTGCCCTTACAACTATAGTTTCTTTGGGAATAATAGCATTTTGCTTGTGGTCTCTATCAACCCTTCTCCTCTTGCAATTCACAAATTTTCCTTCTTGACACGACTTACCTATATCAGGTCCAAATCCATTTCTGTGAGATCTTCCAAATTCATTTCTATCGTAAGGGTCATCTCTACAAGATTAACAATCATATTACTTAGATGACTATAACAGATATTGTACTTTACACATCATTTTCTTATGATTCTTCAAATTCTTGCAAAACTTCAAAAGATGCTTAATGAACGGCCTTTTACTTTTGCAGTGTCCACAGCGTTATCTTTCATAATGTGAAAATCAAGTATACATTTAATTATTTGAAAATATTTTTAATTTACATGTGCAGAGAAAAAAAGTCACATACACACTGTATATGTATCAAACAAACACCTTGTCAAATTAACAGTTTTAGTAATAAGAATTATATGATATTGTGCTCAGCAGGTCATGAAATATTGCATATATGTAAATGTGATACTAATAGATCAAATGTGGCCTAATTCTCTCTAAAAGAATTCCAGAGTTCAATGTACACCTGAAGTATCAACACATGAAATAAAACAGCAAGAGAAGGTAGAAACAGTTCATATTCAGAACCCTAAACAGGCAATCAATTTCACAGTCAGCTGTGACAATGACACTTCAGAGGAGTCCTTCACCAGTTTTATTGACCACACCCCCCTTACCTGGCTGTCGACAAGTCAGGTATGCCAAACACAGAGCCCTCATAAACTGAACGTCTAGGACTGTTTAAGTCCATTTCCCTTCGATTGCCACTGTGTAAAGTTTTACACTAATTGATTTTAGATTTTAGCTAAGATTTATTTGTAAATGCTATTACATTAACACAAAGTAAGACCATTTGCCTTACACCAGAAAAGCAGGAGAACATGTAGAATGCTAGTATTAAATATACACGTGTATATAGGTAAACAAAATGTTCATTCACTGTATCCCCTTGAAAATGCTATTTCCTCATTTCATACATCATATATATTTATATACAGATATATATGTAAATCAGTTTTTTAAGCATAAATTCAGCTAATTAAGCATGCAGTCCAAGGCATCCCTTAAACCGTGAAAGGTGAGCATGCAGAATACCCCCATTTATTATTATTAAATATAACCATGTTCTGGTACCAGGAGAAGTCTTACCTGTGATTAAACGGATCTCCAGAGCTGAAAGTAGACAGAAATACAATAAATCCAGGTTATACACAAAAGCAAGCACATAAAGATCTAATTTTTTTTTAAAAACATGTTGAAGCTTTTCATTGTTGTAAAAAATGTGTGCACAAGGAAGGTTCCTTGAGAAAAAAATCTGTTTTCATTTCCTCAAAGATAACTACCATGGTTTAATAACAATGCATTTATATTTTTTTCTTAAATTATGCAACTGCATACATATAAATGTGTTATCAGCATTGTTACTTGGACTCCAAAATACAGCAAAGCACATGCAACTTCCAAACCTGTAAGACAGTGTAGTTTAAATATGAAATTGGAAAAAAATGGATATCCCTGTACACAAACAAAGAAGGAATTGTCACAAGGAAATCTCAAGTAGTGATCTCAATATGAATATGAATCCTGCTTAGTTTGCAAGTAATTTAAACAAAAAGGAATTCCATATAAATGCTAAGTATCTCCTTGCTGAGTATACCCTTTCAGTTTGGCAATACTTCCTCATGAAAATTCCAACTACTGCACACTGCCTCCTAGCAATAGACCCTCATAAATAATCCTCTATCATCTTTGACACTGACATATAATCTGCTCTATAGCTTTGCCAACTTTTGTCTCCAATTACTATATCAAGTTATTAGCTTTATTTTAATTTTAAGAATAAATTGCTAATCCTCAATATCAAAGTCTACACGCTAATCCCATAGAAAAATGGTTCCTTCAGGAATTAGGTACGGCCTGTGTCATAAGTAGAAAGTTAATTCAAATAAATGAATGTTCAGTAAATAAGCTTCTTTTAAATTGTTTGATCATGCATCTTAAGCCACAGTAATTACGGAAATTAGCCAGTGATTTCTACACCTATTTCTACAGCATTAAATGACAAGTTTTCTGCACACATATTTTCATTTGAGTATCCACAAGCTAAACATTTCATTTCATTGCAATTTGATTTCCATTCAATAATTTTTGGGCTGTATACTTGGGTATCCCATGGAAAAAAGAAAGAAGATAAAAATCACAAACTTTTTATATAAGCTGACAAAAGGTAATAACTACCTTAACAGTGGTAACTCTTAATGTGGGCTAGTACTGGTATATGTATATTAAGGACAGATGAATCATAATATATGATGATACAAACAAAAAGTTGGATGCCTGGATTAATACATATTTTTGGACCTTTTTAGATTGAAAATGATGCAAATATTACATTTCTAAAATTGTAAACTTTCTGTAATGTTCAAATTTCTACCTTTTTCCTGTCACCCTTATAAATCTATACAACTTTTTATCGCTTTATAAGACAATTTTGTGAAACCTGGAAGAAAAAATTAAAATCTATGCAGTTAAAATTATTTCCTTTACTCAATATATAAACATGCTTTAGTTATTTCCTTTACTCAATATATAAACATGCTTTAGTTCCTATTTTAATGATTTTTGAAAACAAGTTTGTTTGTATCAATTCTGTCCTTAAGCCTAAAAGTTGTAACCCATATCTGTTTCATACATTATAAACTTTTGATGAATATAAATTTTATAGAAGAAAAATAATATACATATACATTGAACTTTGTTATTATCTAGAACACTGATATCTTGAATACAAGGGATATGTAGAAGTGAGTTGGCAGTCCAAGCACTTTTTCGTTATTTTTTTAACCTCATTATCTTGAATCCTTGGATATCTTGATCTGTAATCTTGTTCCCTCAAGTTCAAGATAACAAAATTTGACTACAGTTAAACAAAAAAGTAGTTCTGGTAGCTCAACATTAAATGTATATGTTCATGATGGTTCTAGCAATGATGAATATCTTTGTCAGTTTTCTTATACAACTATAGTGGACTTTCAGCGGCTAGTTCTAAGCCATTATAAACTGTTAGGATCAATATGAAATCTCGATTTATCTGGCCAATTACAGACTCAACAAGGTGATCTACAACCATATGATCACTCCCTTAAACAAACAAACTGTTATCATGAGCAAGCATAACTCTGCATAATCCAGATAATATGACTACCTTGTGAGATGTTTAATATTTAGATAACTTGTGTGAATAGGGCCTGTATCCACAGTCTAAAGCAGGAATGTTAACATCAGGGATTTACAGAAAATATTGACTTTTCATTTCATAAGATGTCTCAGTTGAATTTTACCTTTTCTGAAGGTTCTTGAAAATAGTACGAGTTATGTTTTTTTTTTTAGGAGGAAGATTTTAAAAACTAAAACACATTATAAGATTACCTTTTATATCTATATATATATTTGTGTATTTGGTTCATTGTCCCCCACCCATGCTGCTGGCTACAAGCCGTCCTAATTATAATAATGAGAAAATACCTTTCTCCTCCTGTTAATATGCAAACACTACATGCAGCTGCAATAGTCATATTAATGAAGGTGACATATCAGGAAGATGAATTCATTGTACAAAATGTTGATTTTTTTTTTGTTTAATTCCTATTTTATAAATTGTATGGCTGTTAACAGTATTTGATTAATTAACACACTTTACTCTAAATCAATATGGAAGTAAAATGTATCATTGTCACTTTGACATCTTATATTCTAGACAGCTAAACTTGTTTACAGTCAGTCACCTTAAGTTATGGAATCCTTAATTCATTTAAAAATCTTTAAATATCTAAATCCCTTAAAGAAGTAACAACAATGAAAAGAAAACAAAAACCCAGCAATTTATTGTTGTCTTTTTCCACAAGGGTCACAACATTTACAATAAAAACGGAGATTCAGAATGTCTGTTTAAGTGTAAAATTTCTTGGGCCAGCATTAAAGATTGGAAGGTTCTGACCCGTGCTTGTATAATGATCCATTAATCTACATCAAGAGGTTTACATATATATATTCCCCCTATCCTAGGGGATTAGAAATGAATGGCCAAGTTAACCCTAAGGTGGATGCACACTCTAAAGAAACATCAAGTCCTATCTCTCATTTCTTTTCTCCAGGATTTCTTCACCTATACTTCATTCAACACGCCTTTAACTGACCCAAGATTAAAATTTGCGAAATTTCTTCAGTACATTTAGACATTCAAATCTCTATCACCCTATGTCACCTTCCTATGCTGACAACACTTCTGAGGAAGAATTTAGGTCAATAGAACATAGCATTAATACATATGTATACGTACCGGCCTGCACCTGTGTAAAACTTCATCCTTCATTTGTTTTCAAATAATCCTTTCACTGATCGAAAATCAAAACAAAATCTTAAGTCCCAAATTCAACTTAATGCACCAAGCTACAATGTCTTCAAGGAGTTCCACTCTTGCAAAGTTATCGTCCAAGACCTTCCGTTTACTACCAAAGACCTGGCATTCTTTAAATCCCTCTAAACCAACCATTCATGCTCCTTAAAGTGTCACCCTTGGCAAATCATGCGTGAGACCAAACTAGTTTTAAGTTGAACCATTTCAGAAACACCTTCCATATCACCTTAACATACTGATGTAATGAATACACACACAAACACAAAATTAAATTTTATATATGACAACTATTTCTAAGGTAACAATAGAAGGATGTCCATTACCCTAACGATAAAAGAAACTATGAAGCATTTTTCTTATACGATTTGCAATTCTTTGTTAAAGATTATTTTTTCCCCCCATTTTTATGATAATAATAATGTGGTGTAAAATTTCATACAGGGTTAATCTTTCTTATTGAGAGTAATAAATGTCAAAATGAAGAATATACTTTGAATTAGATGTTAAAACAAATCATGCCTATTTAATTCTGCCACTCTTAAATATCAAGGGAGTTAACCATACCAAAAACAAAAGAATGTCTATTTATCAAGGGGGGGGGGGGGGGGGGGTAAAAAAGAACATCACAACTAGGGCTGGGACATTTGAGGAATTTCTCAGTGCTGGTTTTACTCATTTTTTTCTTATCAACATTTTTTCTTCAAATTGGTTCATTTAACATTAGAAAACATATATCTTCTGTGGTAATAATAAGAAATGAATACTGTTCTGGGTTTTTTTTAACTTATAGATTAACAAAACTCTTCTCAAAATAAAATATACACATTTTAAAAAACAAACAAAGTAATTAGGATAGAGATGTAAAATTGACCAGATAAAGTTACTGGCAGCTGAAACGACAGAAAACTGCTGTTGTCTATTAAACCTTTTTCTTGCACAAAATAACACTGACTCTGAGATTTGGCCACCATCTTGATTTAAATGCAGGATTGAACCAACCACTGCTTTTCTAAGCACACCTTCCTGAAGTTTCTATGATTCTAAAATCAAGTAATTCAACAACTAAATACGAGAAAGTCTGTATGTAATAATTACCATTTCATATTAACTGCTATTTGACCAAAAATCTTGTGGAAAAAGCACCCTTAAATACAGGGGAAATATAGCACCTTAACCATATAGTTGTAATACAAAGATTATATGAACACAAGTTTAACACTATTCTTTTCCATGAATCAACCAGGAAAGACCATAATCTTCATGTCAGTTCACACAGAATAGAAAGTCCGATAATAAATGTTAAAACAGAATTATAAATTTATAATGCATACTTGGTGTCAAATTCAGACCAACTATTAAGTAAAATGAAATTCCAGAAAACATATCAGCAGGAGGCCCTCAACAGAGAAGACGCTCGTATAAATTTTATATTTAAGGACTGAAACTAAATACAACACCTTCTGTTTGTAACTCAGAAAAACCCTTCGCCGGGCCTGAATTGGTACATGTAATTTAAATAACTTGTATCTATTTCTGCATTATGAATGTAAAACTAGGTTACTACTGGTGTATATGTCACGATGCATTAAATTAGTAAAAGTAGATCTAGAACAAAAACAGTTAATAATCCTCTTGGCAAAAGCATGGATTGACATCTGCAATACGTACACCACCTACAGAAAACTGCTGGAAGCACAAAACAAATGTTAACCATGGAATGTGCATTAAAGAGATCTTAGTCTTTCCAATGGGTGCTCCTCAAATTTTTGGCCTTCATGAAATGACTGCATTGCCATTAATGACTTTAAAATATTGTATTCCCAATCTGAGCATTTCACTGATGACATTAAAATCAAACTTTTATTTGCAGGTGAAACACAATACATCTGCCAACTGCAAATTCATAGTATGACCAAATTTAAGTTAAAGTGTTGAAATCTTTGACCTTGTACTGTAAAAACAGCCTTCCATGAGCTTGATTTCCTTGACATAAAGTTCTTATCCTTTACAGCTCAGCATATATAGCTTCTTAACTATTAAATAGGAAATTATAGTTAATTAAGCATCTCTAGTTTAAATGCACATGGCTGATCTACCTGGCATTTCTGATTGTAGACTTTACTTACTTTACAGGATGGAATCCGTTCCGTCCGTAATGATCGTAACCGTTCATTTCCACACCTCTAACACTCTGTCACTGCATACCCCACACCTACAAAACAGAAAGAGCACTTGTCAAATTGTAATATCTACACTTTTTTTTTTACCTGGTTTAGAATTTCCAAGCTGAAAAATGGGCAAAATAGTTCTCCAAAGGTAAAAAGAAAAATCAACCCCCAAAAAGCTCATAATTTACTACTGCAGACATCATTTATGTCATATAACATGCGAATTCTCAGGTTCTAATAAGCAGAAAGTTTATCATCCAAATAATAAACAAGGTAGTATATCAAATTCCTCATAGAAAGTTTCTAGCAAACAATACTGGAAATTCTTAATGCAGCACATGCAATGTTAAAAGCTAGGCTATGTTTAAATAGCACACAAAAGTCAAAACACCTAGATAGCAAGCAATTTTTCTAGAAACACAAAAATTGCTCAACGCAAATTGTTTGTTTTGCATACACGATTAGCCCAAGTAAATTAAGAATGCTATTGCAATATTTCAGGTTTTTCTCTCAATTCACACTAATATTTTAATAAATAAATATAATTTTTTGCTTTAATTTAAATACTAGGGTTAATGAAAATGGATCATTTCCACGCCCAACAAGTCATCAAGTTTCAGATTTGTTTGTTTGTTTATTGTTTAATGTCCCTCTCGAGAATTTTTCACTCATATGGAGACGCCACCACTTGCCGGTGGAGAGCTGCAAATTTTGACCTATACTCGGCACTCAGGACCATTGAGCAGTGAAGGATCTTTTCTGTGCCAGCACCTACTGCGCATCCAAAGGACTGGTCTCCACTTCCCTCAGTGGGATTTGAACCCACGACATAAGGATTAACTCCTTACTCCGCACCTCTAGAGCAAACGCTCTAACCCCTGCGCCACGCAGGCAACTTTCAGATTTGTAACAATCATTGAAAACTTCACAATTATTTTTTTAATTTTAATAAAATATCATATTATATTGATACTGGGACATAAGCAATCTTTAACATAAGACTTTGCAATACATGGCCCTGCTGTTCTTTATCAAAAAAGTTTTTAAGATTTTTTTCTCCATTTTTTCCCATATAGCTTTTGACCCATACTGTGGCTCCCACTTCAGCCCCACGGGGTCATGACAAAACTGCTCAAATCTACACAAAATAGGGATGCTTTAATAACACCTGTAACATGACCTTGCTGATTTGGTTACGAAGATTTGATTAAGATTTTCTTTCCTGATTCTCAATTTTGGCTCCACTCTAACCCCAAAGTTTATATAATTTGAAAGAAAAGAAATCCACACACTTTGAGAATGTTTGGGTTATATGACTTAATCATGAAGAACATGAAGAACTTGGAGTGAAATGCAATACTTAATCTGACTTTCTTCGATTAACAATTAATTACTGCTTTAATATTCTTAATCATTTTTTTTTTTCATGAATATCAACACAAAGTAGATTCATAAATATTTCTTCACACTGTCCCATGTGTGACAAAGTTGACAGGACGACTCAAATTCTGCAACATGGACACGTTTTTATAAAAAAAATTACCTCAGCGATAAAAAAATTGTATCTAACAATGTAGTACAACAAAACAACTCGTCGACAATTCCGATTGCAGAACACACATATCAACAAGAAACATGCAACATGGCGCCATTTGCCAACACCAAAACAAATCGTGCACCTTGGGCGAGGTTCGAAAACGAAAGTGATACACATTGCTTGGTGTATTTTTTTCCTGTTTCCTCTAACTTACCCGTTATTTCCTCTTTGTCAATGAATGTCACTAAAAGTAATAAAAGTTTTCACACAAGATTCGGCACACGTCGAAAGATACGACAGATCAATGTGCTCTGGGCGAGGCTTGTTTAACGCTGTTCCAATCAACGATTATACACCCTCCTCTCACCTTGGAAAGGTGATTTATAAATACCGTGGGACAATATTTTTGTTTAAATAACGATCTTTAAAGCTTCTGCTTTACTTTCAAGAGAAGTTAATATTTTTTACTAAAATACATGCCATGGAAAAGACTTTAATTATATTTTGCTTGTCGTTTTCACACCTGTGTAGGTAAACTATCCCAACTGGGAACAGCCAAAAAAGTTGTTACCTGTGATCACATGATTATTCATTCATCCCCCCCCCCCTTTGACTGGGCAAGGAAAAGCACGTCTGAACAAAAATACAGATATGTTCTGAACGAAAATTTACTGTATATAGACGTTTTTCTACATCTTGAAACTTTATCCAACCTTGTTATACACTATATATTCAAAGTTCCCTTTCAGAAGAGGACACTTTCAGTTTTTTTTAAATTATACTTTGATATTCCAGTCAAAGGGGGTGAGTTTAATTTACCGTACCAAATACTGGATTCTAACGATCGAATTCCAAAGAACTCTTTGGAAAATTTAAAATCTCAACACTTTTCAAACATAAATTGCATAAAAACATATGACTTTTCTATATGCACTTTATAAAGAGCATGAGGGCTCTTTAACACAACCACTTCCTCAATAGAGATGGAACTCGCAAATTTTCATATCTCGTGACTGGTCATCTACATGTACCAAATTACAATCAATTTTAAAAATCATTCTGTTCTATATACAAGTACTCTGGAGTTTCATCACTTTCACAATATCACGGTAGTCTTTGGAGACAATGTCATCCAACAATCTGAACATTGGAATTTCGATGGGCACTAATTGTGCTCCTTTATTATCCGATCTCTTTTTGCATTCCCATGAAGCAGAATTTATTCAAAAACTTCTACACGAGAAGAAAACTCTTAATTCTTGTGGCCTTCAACTCAACATTGATTCATATCGATTCTATGAGTTTGTGGATTCAAAACCATGGGGGGGGGGGGTCAAGGATGATTTTTTTGAAAATAAAAAAGTAAATAAATTATTAAGTAAAAAAATTAATAATTACAACAAAATCAAAACAAAAAATAAAAAAATGTCCAATTTCGAAATCCTATTTCGGAGAGATGAGGGAGGGATAGGGGATTAGTATAGGTTCAGTCTCTTTGACAAAAAAATATTTTTAAAATCAACTAGACCTGGGGTCAATTACTTTGAAATGTAATGCATTAAATTACAATTACTTTGGAATTTTTACCATTACAATTACCATTACCATTACTCTTATTCAGAAAAAGTAATTAATTAATTGTTAAAGTAATGAATTCTATGATTTAATCAACCCTGATACCATACGCGCCTGAATGTTACTTGGGGACTGAATTGAGAGTATATAAAACTTTAAGAAGCAACATGTACAAAACCAAAAAAAATATATTACGAAATAAAATGTTTAAAAATTTCAAATGGGGGGGGGGGGGTGGAGGGGCAAGCCAGGCGAGCCGGTGCTGGATCCGCCTTTGGTAGGTTGAGTCAATATTTCAATTTTCTCAGTGCAAAGTTAAATTGACTTTTGCTAAGACACAAGGCATCTGTATATATATATATATACTTGTAACTCTCATTTCTCTTAAGCATTTTTATTCTTTATCATGGTAAATATTTGAAATAAACTTCATGAAAAATGTACATTACCATGTACATGTACTTTCAGGTGCGTAACTCTTTAAAAACAATTATTGAATTCGATTTGCGAATCTTAATCTTATAAATCACATGCGTGGTTATTCTCTTTAGAGAAGTGGTCAGGCGTTGCCTATATAGTCATGGGTACGTGTAGGATCTCTTAAAATAATAGTAAACACAAGGGGTGGGGGATGAGAGGGGAGCTTTTGCCCCCAATGCATTTGAAGTTGGAGGTCAAGAATACCTAATTGACCCCCCCCCCCCCCAACAATCTTTAGTGGGAATAGTAAAAATGTTGGAATTTTATACAAAATCCTTAGGAACCTGCTTTTACATGTGTATTCCATGTGACCAGACCTTTCTTTGGATACCAACATTATTGACCTATTGACCTTGGAGTTCGACATACTTTAGAAAAACGTTAACCTTGGCCATAACTTTGGAACGGTTGGTGCTAGAGCTTTCATATATCAACTGTGTATTCCTTGTGACAAGACCTTTCTTTGGATACCAACAATTTTGATCTCCTGACCTTGGAGTATGACCTACATTTGTTTAAAAAAATGAACCTTGCCTATAACTTTTGAATGGCTTGTGCTAGGGCTCTTTTGAATGGTTGGTGCTAGGACTTTCACATTTATTTATGTATTTCTTGTGACAAGACCTTTCCTTTTATTGGTACCAATATTTATGACCTCATGACATTGACCTTGGAGAACTACATGTAATATGACCTACTTTTGAAAAACTTTAACCATGGCCATATATTCTATAGCTACTAGTAAGTGGTTGGTTTTCAATGGAGGGCTTTCATATTTCACATATGTATTCCTTGTGACAAAACCTTTCTTTGGGTACCAAAATTTTAGACCTCTTGACCTTGGATATTGACCTACATTTGAAAAAACTTTAACCTTGGCCTTGAGCTGCCACACAGGGGCATCAGTGTTTTACAAACACATCTTGTTTGTTTGTTTTGTTTTGTTTTGTTTTTGTTTTGTTTTTGTTTTGTTTTTTGTTTTGTTTTATTCTTGTAGCCAAACTGGAATACACATTTACTAGGCCGAGTCTCCACCTTCATGTTTGTGACCATGCACACGCCACTGCTATTTTTCAGTATTTCATATTTCTCATTTCGAAATGAACAAACTGAAAGGAATTTGTGTCTTTTTTTCTTTTTTTTATCGATTTATATTTACATATATAGTAAATATTTCTAACTTACCTGTAACCAGGTTTATCTTGAAAATGATATCTATATCATGTCATCGGAAAGCAAACATAGGAACAATAAGCCGCATCCTCTTAAAGGCGTTGGAAATTAAATGAATACGCCATGCAGTCCGGAGGGGTAAGCAGGGGCAGGGTCATGTTTATCTCCTTAAATTTACCCCGAGATCCCAGCTGTGGCCCGGTAAAAACTTGTAACTGGTGTGAAAATTGGTTATAATTGATTAGCTTTAAAGGATGACTGCACTTAACGCCGGTTTTCGGGTCTTTTTCGGTTGCTTCTGTTGCTTTTATATCTAAACCTTAATTCACTTTTGTATATTTATGAAAGAATCCTGTCAATTTGGAACCAAATTTAAATCTTAAAATGATTTTAGACTGTGAAACAATAAAATGATTCAATGTTTTTTGTCCTTACTGCTTTCCAAATATAGAGAATTTACACTTACCTGCCCTTGATTGAACATTAGATATGCATGAGAGGTGGAGCTAACATTGTAAGAATGGGTCTAAAATTAGACTAGATAAATAACAATGACATGTTTGAAATAAGGAATGTGATCACTCTTTCCCATCTCCATCTCCATTCTATATGGCACAAATACACTACTGTCAAAGGTTTCAAAGCGAAATTAACAATATGATCACGTCCATGTAATTAAAGCAGATTTTTTATCAATGCCAGATGACTTAACGTGTTCGAACACAATGTCCTAGTTAGCACAAAACATGCTACCTTACAAGTCACGTGATGGAATTTAGTATTCACAGAGTTACCTGAGGTAGGAAATCACGTGGTGAATTATAATATTCAACATGTCACAACCCTTGGTTACAACACAGAGAGCGAATGTAAGAAGAAACAGTTTTTTCTCTTTTTAACCATGAGCGCATGTTTGTCTATTAATCTCCTTTTGACACATTATTATTTATGCAAATATACAACTACTGTTAAACGTAGAACAATAGACAAACATGCGCTGACTATGTATGAAGTCAGTAAAAAAGTGGCCGTCCTCATTATCGAACGGAGATTCAAGAAATTGTGATGACCCCTGCCTTTGAAAACAGATTCGAACTTCGTAAATACACACTTTTATTAAACGTAATTACATAAAGTTGTAGATTGGATGTTGACCATTCTTGCAATGAAAAGGAAAAATGCTTGTTTTGAAAGTTTATTTTGTCGCAAATTTCGCATATCCTTAAGTGCAGTCATCCTTTGCAGGAGACTTAAGGAAAGGGGAGAAACTTAAACTGAAATATTTTACACTAAACAGATCTAGAAATTGATGAACATATAAGATGAGCTTAGGCATGTTTGCGCTTGTATGTCTGTGTGTTTGGAGAGAATGGATATACAGAGCGTATTCCAGTAAAAAATAAAAAATCCTTATTAATACAACAAGTATTTGTACAGGAAATTATTTTGCAATGACTAAAAATGTATATGTAACAAAACAAAAATTTCTAATGTTACACATCACAACATACTATAAAGAATTGTCGTCACTTTAATGAGTACATGGTGGTTAACTTAGTGTTTTATTTCTTCTAATGATGCGCCTTTACAAAATTTTAGGGGGACATTTAAAACTAGGATTGGGTCACTGAAAGGAAAACGTTGTATTAGAATTGATTTTTTTTTCATAATCATAAGTTTAAAGCACATGCATGGTCCATGAGTCCAGGACTGGACCGCAGCCGGGTGTCAATCTTTAAAATCCTCGAGCTCAATTTAATAAGAATCAAGAAGATTCGTGAATATTTTTTCAAGATATGTAATATTCTAAATTTTATCTTTTTGCAAAGGTATACCCAAAATTTGCGGCTGGATCGTCGAGTCTGTCTTCAGGCGTTTCATCCCTTAACCCAAAACGTTCTAGGGATGGCGGGGCAACAGAGGAAGAGCATACATATATTAAAAAGTCCCCTCCTCTCCAAATTAATATAAATGTTAAAATGTACAAAGTGATCCAAATCTTTAATAATGAATCTAATGCCGAGAACAGAAAGGAGTGATATAATTGTAAGATATAAAGATAAAATATATATTTCTCCAAATCAAAGTTAAAACTGTGAAGCTACGCAAAATAAATCAAATAACTTGGTTGAAATTTCATTTTATAAAAAAAAAATATACGTCACATCGAACAACATGCCAATTTTCAGCATTTTTGATACCGACAAATTACCAGGGGAGGTTCGTTTTATTATAAAAATGCTTGCAAGACTTTAAACATTCCCCCTCTCTATAAAACTAGACTTGACTTTTTAAAATAATAGTTATTCAATATTCACAAATTCCCGAGGACTAAAGTACAATGGTGTATTAATTCCATGCAAACAGGACATATATATCAAACGCCAAATTTAACGAATTTAGACTGAATACCCGGGGGGGGGGGGGGGGGTCGAGTACTGGTCTGGCATTGGCTGTTACATAAGCATTGTAAGATATGTTTTTGAATTTTAAGTTTTTTTAGGCTAATTATAGTTAGGGTTGGGATAAGATCCCCACTGAGAACTGATATATTAAGGTTATCAAAGAAATGCAAGGATATCGCCGATATATTGGACGGAGAGGAATCAACAAACTGCTTTAGGGGATGATCGAACCAGAGACATATAAAACTTATATTTATATGTCTCTGATCGAACGAAGGCAGTTCTAGGAGGTGTAGGAGATCATTCCTGCGTGGAAGAGGGAGAAGAGTAAAGGAGGAACGGAAGGTGAAAAAATAAGAGGAAAAATTGCATGGAAGGGAGCAGGAAGAACAGAACAGAACATTTATTTTCTAATTTAGTGCCCATAACAGACAAGTATGAAATTATTACAATAATAAGGAAAAGATATGCCAATGGATAGTATAACAATTTGTAAATGACATTGCTCATTTCAACAATAATATTGTACTATTTCAGTTAAAGGGAATACTATATATATAAAAGTGTATGGCTACTACAACATGTTATCATTTATGAATTTGCTCACAAAATTAAGAGTTTCTTTGTCTTTAGTATTGAGTAATCAAAAAAGTTTTTGTCCATCATCCAACGCCGAGAAATTTGGAAATTTACTTTTAATTGACTGAAAATTTCTTTTCTTTGATGATCATATTTTTTACATGTTATCAAAAAATGAGTTTCATCATCTACACTGTTAGAATTACATCTATTGCATAATCGATCTTCTCGAGGGATGTAGGTAAATTTTCCCACTTCAATTTGCAATCTATGACAAGAAATTCTTAATTTACATAGAGATTTTCTGTGATGAAAATTTTTAACTACAGATAAATAATTCTCATAACCCCAATTTTGTTTGAGTTTTTACATATGTGCTTAATTTACCATCGGTATAACTTTGTTGACTTGTATACCAATTTTTTTTTTTACATAAAAAATCTAATAAGGTTTTATGACAGAGTGACTTAAAAATATATGCTTCCCATAACAAATTACTTCATCTTTGATATTCAGTATATTCGAAGAAGAGTGTCAAGAAGTCCCCCCCCCCCCTCTTTTTTGAACTATCTTTCCCTGCTCTGGAACTTGCACTCTTCTTTTTTCTAAATAACAAATTCCAGTATAAATATTTCGCATCCTTATTTTCCAATTTTATCCGTTCAAGTATTATTTTATTATGAAGCGCTGAAGTGACTAAGTCAAAGCTACACGTATATCGTGACGTATTACGCAGGAAGTATCAAGTCTATGACAGCCTGGCACTGTTTTGATTTTCAGTTTACAGGGAAAATCGAAAATGAGAAGAGCACACGCAAGTAAGAATGACGAAACTCATTATTTGTGACTAATATGTTGACGGTGCGACCGTTGGGGCGAGCGCAGTGTTCACTTCATTATTATGATCCGCCTCTTCAAACCGCACGAGACATTTGGAACGTCTAGACTGTGACGTCACATGACGTCGTATGTTAGCTGCATTTCCATAAACAAAGTTTAAAAAGTGCAAATATTTTAACAAAGAACGTTTAATCTACTATCTGCATGCAATATCCATTAAATTAAGGTGAGTTTATTTTGTGTGAATTTTTAGTTGTTGTCACCGCGTGAACGAAGTTAGCAGCGAGAACAAGAAGCGATGCATTGTGGGTCAGAATTACTGCGGAAAAAAATTCTATTGAATGAATGTGCAGTAGTCCGAATTTTCTCTTCGCCCAGGCGTTGTCGTTAGAGCTCGCAGTGACGAGCGGCGCTTCGCCGCTCGCTGCGCTCGCTATTAGATACGTCTGATTCAATTTATGTTCTGTTTGTGGCCTAAATCGATCTATGAACAAGAATCTGAATGTCACCGGTCTTGTGACAGATGGAAATAACATAGAATCAAGGGTACACTGACAAACACTTATCATGTTCAAGTGGTCTTGATTCATATCATGTTGGTACGGTTTGATTCATTTGAAATAAGGAATGTGACGATTTGGAAACTCGTCACCAATGGCCAATATTGTAAATGAAAGTGGCTATGTATGCAGTAAATGGAGACACTTGTTCAGTTGAAACAGGGACCTATATACTAACGGGATAGGCAACTCCTTCAGCGCCATGTTTATTTACCCAAAACGGCACACACAACACTGCAAGTTTTTCAAACTACGTTTTTTTCCCAGTTAAAAGCTTGTTTTCTGATTAATGTAAACTGTTCTATAAGTGTATCGGAATGGATATTTAATAAATTTTAAAGCACATATTATAAAATAATTAAGATATTAAGTAAACAACCACCAAAATAAGCGATTTCTCGGAAATACGGCCATTCAGGGGCACGCATTGATTTTTAAATAAACGTTATTACTACTAAGATTAGGAGTAAAAACAGTGCTAATAACACATCTTGAATAATTTTTGATAGATAAATCAAGATTTTATTCTGAAATATTTGATAGGAAAAGAGATATATTTAATTAAAATTGACTTACAAAATCCCGCAACTTACGAGATATCGCGAGACTTGTGAGAGTTGCCTATCCCGTTAGTATATAGGTCCCTGGTTGAAATTTTAGTCTAATTGTACTTCCATCCTTCTAGGGACCTATATACTAACGTTTTAGCATATAGGTCCCTGATCCTTTTTTCAGGTTCCCTGTTACACAGTTTTAATATTTAAAACATTGAAAAAAAAAAGTGCAATGCACAGTGCAATCATGGTTCAGTTTCAAATACTTTTTGGGAAGTTGACATGATAAGAGTCAACTTACTTTCATATATTCCGGGTTTTTGAAATATCAATTTTATAGATGACCAAAGTGCATTTATGAATTATTTTCCAATGGCATGTTTATTTCCTCATTTTAAGTTGAATGTAAATTGAATCTAAGGATCAGGGCTCGACATTAACTTTTTTCCCTACTTGTCCATTCAGACAAGTGACCAAGACATTTACTTGTCCGAACTTCAACTTCACTTGTCCGAAAATTTTTCAATAAAGATCTAATACTGTCAACTTGAAAACTAAATTAAAGTCCATTACACATGACATGTGCTTGATTGATTCGTGATGTTATTGATATTTACAACAAACACATAAAACGAAATTTTATCTAGGCTTTCTGTCCTGACAACAACATTTATAAATGTCCACAAGTGAACCAAACTTCGTTAAGTTCGTAAGTTCCATGCCTTTTCAGTAGTATGCAATTAGTGAACTTCGATCCCGATCCAATGTGAACTCAATTAATAGTGATCCCTATCGGGATCAAAGTCCGGTTTTTATGTACAGCTTCCGTCTTGAAACTACCAATTAACTTTCATAGTCATTCTTATTATTATTTAGAGACTCCTTTACATTAAAATGCACTTGTCCAATCGGACAAGTGCCCAGCAATATTCACTTGTCCGTAATTTTTTTTCACTGGTACCGGGCAAGCGGACAAGCGTTAATGTTGAGCCCTGAGGATATATTTTTTTTTTCATTTAAAGAAGATAATCAACTTGTCATTTATTCATATACTAATAAATGATTTTTCAGTTTTTCTTTTCATTTAATCATTTACAATGCAAAACCAATTTATATGTCAAATACATTATTTTTTAGATAATGAAGGAGGATATTACCAACCAACAGCTCAAATGCTTGAATCGGAAAATGACCGCAGAGAACAGGAGTTGTCAAGCAAAGTGTCAGCCCTAAAATCAGTAATGCCTTGTATTTCATACACACTTTAATTGTGAACAATTTACAGTTGATGCATGTAAAACAGTTAAAAGATTTCATGCAGATATACAGGAAATATTATGAATCTAAATGTAGAAAGAGTAATTATGATAAGATTTTTAGGAACTTTTTCTTTGTGAAAACAACAAGGAGCATGTATAACATGTTTAAGACAAATGTATAAAGTAAATATAATGCCTATGCAGGGCTTTCAAAAATTTTTAAGTGAAAAGGAGAATTTAGCCATTTGAATAGGTTTGTTTTAGAATTATTTTCAACAGTTCATGAAAAAAACAAACAAACACACACACAGACAAATTATGAAATTTGAAGTACAAATTCTGATCAATTAACAAGGATAAATTGCTTCCTGTTGCCCTTGATTGAAAGCCCAGCCTGAGTTAACTTAAAATGTTTTTGATTTTTTTTGAAAAGTCAGTTATCTTATTCACTATAATTTCATATTTTAACTGTACACAAGAATTTGTTGAGAATAAAGTGAACTGTTTTTGTTTTTTGGTTTAATTTTAAGTCTATTAAATTCTAGATATTATTCCAAGATATGGAAAATATAATAATTAATATGTGGTAAATTTAAAGAAACTCATTTAACATAAAACCTTGTCATTCACTCTGATAACAGTTGGATCAATGACAAATTTTCTTTTGCAGTTGACAATTGACATTGGGAATGAAGTCCGAGAGCAAAATAAATTCCTAAAAGAAATGGCAAGTCTTCTGCATATTTAAGTCCAAATTTATATTCTATTTGTCTTTCTTAAAATTTTCATAATAAATACGGTATTAAAGTAATGATTTATTTACTCAACAAAAAAAGAAGTAAGGAAGACAGTATGGTAAAAACACTTGTTGATGAAAATGACATTTTTTGACATTTTAATATTTTACGTATTTTATTTGATACAGGATGAAGATTATGAAAAATCTGGAAATCTCCTTCAGTTTTCTATGGGTCGATTAAAAGCCATCACAAAAGCCGGGGGACCAAAGCTCTGGTGTTATATGTTTCTGTTTTGTTTATTTGTTTTCTTCCTTATATGGGTGATTGTTAGGTTCAGGTGATCCAGGTTAGACTACTGGCTTTTTGTTTTGAATTATTGTTGTTGCCAAATCATATACACTGATTTTTACATTTACTGGTATAAGACTAGTTCATATGAAAGGTTTAAATGACCCAGGAACTCTGTTACTCACATTTTTTTCTAAAAAAAAAAAAGCCTTAATTTAGCCAATTGTGCAATGAGAGCAAACTTTTAACACTTAGAATAAAGGAACATCTTCCATGGAATATTATATACAGTTGAACTTCAATATCATTGATGTCTTGAATACCATGAATTTATCAAAGTCATTTGGAAGTACAAACTACTTTTTGTCAATGTATTTTACCCTCATTGTCTCGAACCCATGGATATCTAAGTTTTTCATCGGTTCCATTGAGTTCCAGATAATGAAGTTTGACAGTATATACAGTCAAACCTTGGAATTCTGGAATTGATGAGGATGAAATTTTTTTTTTGAGTGTAATTTAACATGTAAGATGTTGACAGCATTTTTTTTTCTCAAGTAGAAGATGTCAGTCATCATACAAATGTTCATACCATTGTTTTATCATATTCAACACCAGTAAATTTTATCATTTAATTTTTATTTAAAAATATTTTTTCAGCATTTTGTCAAGCATAAAATGTTAGTCAATATACATTTTAAAGCCAACATTTGATCATGTTGATTTATATTACAGGTATTTATTTAATTTTTGGTAAAAATAACATTTTTGCCAAAGCCATATTTCAGTATTGTGAGGGTTGCTCTGGAAATTTATGAACATAAGACACATTTTTCAGAGATTTGTATGACAGAAAAAAAAGTTGTGTTCATCATAAGTAACATTTAATTATCTGCAGTCATGGTAAAATTTCATCCTGCATGTAATGTGTTTTCTAACAATGATTTGACATAAGGTTTTTTAATTTTCTTTCAAATATAGCTCATTTTTGCAAAATGTCTACCTTGCTGTTTGGTCAAGTCATTCAATTCTGATATTGTACCTTTTAAAATGGTCAACAGAGCAGACAATTCAGACTTTTTACTGATTTTTTTTTCAAAGCTAGGAATTATTGTATGGTGAACCTCCACACTAAGAGTCATGTTCTTGGTTGTTCAATAGTATTTACGTATGTGACCACTTGCTCTATTTTTATTTTCAATTAAAAGTGCCATTCCTGAGGTCATTGCAGTGCTAATTGATAATGCCATTATACACTCATTTGAAGTAGCATTGTTGGCCAGTTGAAAATACAGTTGAACTTCGGTATCTCGAACACTGATATCTCGAATACCATGGATATGTTGAAGTGATTTGGATGTCCCAACCCCTCATTCTTTTTACCCTTGATATCTCGAATCCCCAGATATCTCGAAGTTTTTTTGCAGTCCCATCAAGTTTGAGATAATGAAGTTTAACTGTACATCACCAGATCAGTGGCACGTTGATACTAGAGTTGTGTAGTGAGACCTTTCAGAATTATTCCTTGAGTGATTCCATACTATTGTACTATAAATCATATTTGACATAGAATAACTTTGATTGTTTGTATATTTATGGAGAATTTTTGTTTTTTGATTTAATCTTCAGAAGTTGACTGCTTCAAAATAGTATTCCTTGTACATGTATAATCTGCAATACATAACATGCCATTTATAGATATGTCACTACTGAGTTAGTTTTTGAGATGTAAATTATGTAAAATAACCAGGCAGGTGAAAATGTGCAATCAAGTAAGATTTATAATGTAAAATTATCATTTCAATTGTGGACTACAGTAAATAATCTTTCATTTGTGTGCTATGAACAATGCAAGTTTCAGGATAATGTAAAAATGGCAGAGGCTTTTTGCCAAGTAAAAAGTAAAAATTGGAATCTTATTACTATATGTATGACAATTTCATGAAGACAGTAGTCACAAAGGAAAATTGAATTAAAAATTTTTAAACTTTTGTTCACTCCATTTTACCATCTCATTATTGGTGTGATGTTTTGCTCAGTGCATGAGCCTGTATGTGATGTTGCCATGACATAGTAATAAATGATTTTATGAAACCTAAAAAGAGGTCTCTTTAATTTTTTTTACTATAACCTTTCTATTTTCTCATTATCAGTCTAGTTAATATAGTGAACATCACCATTTTTAGGTCACCGGAATCACTCAGGTGACCTATTGCTATCTGTTTTCGTCCGTCGTCGTCCGTTGTGCGTCGTGTGTTAACATTTGAACATTTTCAGCTTCTTCTCTGAAACCGCTGAACCAATTTCAGCCAATTTTAGCATATGGCATCTATGTGTGAAGGGGAACAAAATTTTTGAATTTCATGCTCCCTGCCCCCCTGGGGCCTGAGGGGTGGGGTTAAAACCACCAAAATTAATGCAATCTTTAAAAATCTTCTTCTTTACTCCTGGACATCAAGCAGTCAAACTGTTGACATGACTGTAATAAGTATTGAATCCTCTACCAAAATTGTGAAATTCATGACCCCAGGGTCAGGGGTTCTGGTGCTAGGGCGGGGCTATATAGATCATATAGTGAAAGTGCATTATTTCTTTGAAAATCTTCTTCTCTACTCCTGGGTATTATTTAAACAAATTGAATACATAGTTATGATAAGCAAGGGTGACTCTACCAAAATTGTGAAATTCATAGCCCCAGGGTCAGGGGATCCGGTGCTAGGGCGGGGCTATATAGATCATATAGTGAAAATGCATTATTTCTTTGAAAATCTTCTTCTCTACTCCTGGGTATTATTTAAACAAATTGAATACATAGTTATGATAAGCAAGGGTGACTCTACCAAAATTGTGAAATTCATAGCCCCAGGGTCAGGGGTTCCGGTGCTAGGGCAGGGCTATATAGATCATATAGTGAAAATGCATTATTTCTTTGAAAATCTTCTTCTCTACTCCTGGGTATTATTTAAACAAATTAAATACATAGTTATGATGAGCAAGAGTGACTCTACCAAAATTGTGAAATTCATATCCCCAGGGTTGGGGTTCTGATACTAGGGCGGGGCTATATAGATCATATAGTGAAAGTGCATTATTTCTTTGAAAATCTTCGTCTCTACTCCTGGGTATTATTTAAACAAATTGAATACATAGTTATGATAAGCAAGAGTGACTCTACCAAAATTGTGAAATTCATAGCCCCAGGGTCAGGGGTTACGGTGCTAGGGCGGGGCTATATAGATCATATAGTGAAAGTGCATTATTTCTTTGAAAATCTTCTTCTCTACTCCTGGGTATTATTTAAACAAATTGAATACATAGTTATAATAAGCAAGGGTGACTCTACCAAAATTGTGAAATTCATAGCCCCAGGGTCAGGGGTTCCGGTGCTAGGGCAGGGCTATATAGATCATATAGTGAAAATGCATTATTTCTTTGAAAATCTTCTTCTCTACTCCTGGGTATTATTGAAACAAATTAAATACATAGTTATGATAAGCAAGGGTGACTCTACCAAAATTGTGAAATTCATAGCCCCAGGGTTGGGGTTCTGATGCTAGGGCGGGGCTATATAGATCATATAGTGAAAGTGCATTATTTCTTTGAAAATCTTCTTCTCTACTCCTGGGTATTATTTAAACGAATTAAATACATAGTTATGATAAGCAAGAGTGACTCTACCAAAATTGTCAATTTCATGGCCCCTGGATCAGGGGTTCTGATGTTAGGGCGGGGCTCTATTTATTATACAGTGAAAATGCATTAATGTTTTAAAAATCTTCTGCTCTGCTCCTGGGTATTATTTAAACAAACTAAGTACATTGTTATGATAAGCAAGGATGCCTCTTCCAAAATTGTGAAATTCATGTCCCCAGGGACAGGGGTTCTGATGCTAGGGTGGGGCTATATAGCTCCTATAGTGAAGGTGAATTATTTCTTTGAAAATCTTCTTCTCTGCCCCTGGGTACTATTTAAACAAACTAAGTACATTGTTATGATATGCAAGGATGCCTCTTCCAAAATTGTGAATTTCATGGTCCCAGGGTAAAGGGTTCTGGTGAAAAGGGGGGGGGGCTCTATTGATTATATAGTGAAAAAGCAAAATTTCTTTGAAAATATTCTTTTCTGCTTCTGGTTAAAAAGCAAAGAAGCTAAGTATATAGTTATGATGAGCAAGAGTGCTTCTTCCAAAGTAGTGAATTGCATGACCCCTGGGTCAGATGTGCTGGTGTAAGGGTGGGGCTCTTGATAATATAGTGAAAATGCAGTAATTCTATTAAATAATCCTGTCTGCTCCTTAGTAAGCAGATAAACAAAGTGATTACTTATGATGAGCAAACTTCTGGTCCCTGGGTGAGAGGCTCTGGTGTTTCTCGGTGGGGAGGGGGGACTCTATTGATAATATAGTGAATCTGTAGTAAAAATGCATTATTTCTGTAAAAATTTTCTCTGCAGTTGGGCATATCAGAGGCAAAAAGAGTAAAAGTTTTGATAAGGAAGGGACTATTTTTACCAGATTTTTGAACATCTGGACCATTTGGTCAAGAGTTCTGGTCCTGGCCAGGGCTCTATTAATTTGTATTCTACTGAGAGGAGTTATTCCCCTTTGCCGTTTGCTTTTGATAATCAATCACTGTAAATAATGTACTTGAAAGGTTAATAGAATAAGAGAATTATGCAAGAATTTTTATTGTATAATACAAAAAGTATTTTCATAGTTTTAATGATCAGGTGGACTTGTAAGTAATAGATAAATAAAAATGAGAAAAAATAACTTGTCTTATTAAATGTTCATCAAAGACCAAGAGAGGCCTATGTAAGAGATTTCAACAAGGAAATAAAATAATACAGGAGTACTGGTTGTTTGCTTAGTATACTGTATGGTGATAGTGATAAATGGGGAACAGATTAGAACCTAATTTATGAACTGTTAATGAACACTAGACTAATTATTTTGTTGATCCTGATCACCCTATTTTTCTTGCTTTTGGGCAACAAAGCTTCACCTTTCAGTTCATTTTATACTCTATGGATCCTCAAAATTGTTGTATTATACTCAGGTGACCGTTAAGGCCCTTGGGCCTCTTGTTTTCTTTCACAAACTGCAACTGAACTTCAGTGTCTCAAACACTGCTACTCAAATACCAAGGATGTGTTGAAGTGATTTTGATGTCGTAATCACAATTTTAGTATGGAATCCTTGGATATCTCAAAGTTTTTTTCTTGGTCCCATCAAGTTTGAGATAAAGAGGTTTGACTGTACATGTGACCTTGCATTATAGATTTTTCTCTTGAAAGTAATGTCAATATACAAAAATCTGAGGACCATTTAGCATTAAAGTTAAATATGTAATAATACAAAGTTCAGAAATTTATACATGTACCATTGAATACAAATGAAAATGCAATTATGATAAAATATTAGATGATTCATGTAGATTAATTTTGATACATGATATAAGATAACATCCACTGTGAAGTTGTGAAATATAAAATATACATGTATGTTCCTTTTCCTTAAGATCCCAAAATTTGCACAGTAAAAAGTGTCTGTTTTAAAACTGTTCTATTTACTGCATGTTAAATGTTAAGATTATTAAGATTTTTCTCTCTTTCTTTTTCAATATTCATGTATTATTAGAAGTGCAGACTTCCGAGTCTTAGCATTAGGATAAACTCTATGAATAAAAAAAAATTGAGGTTTCGGATTGGTAGTCTCTGTTAATTCTGTCCCAAATTTTGTCTTCAAACAGTTTTCAAAATCCTTCTTCCAGTTATATTTTCCTGACTTGAAGGAAAACTGGTATTATATTGTAGTTATCATAAAAATTTACAATTCTGATTATTAAATTCAAGTTTTTTGATAAAGAATGATTGCCACTAGCACCATAATATTTATTCTTAATATATTTCAAAGTACACCCCTCCCCCAAATGCCTCTTTCTCTATGACTGGCATAAATCTTGATACAAGACTTCTGGACATACTTCAGTTCATCTGTTATTGCTATTTGTTTTTAGGTCACCTGAGCTGAAAGCTCAGAGAGCTTTTCTGATCACATTTTGTTTGGCCTCTCTGTCTAGCTGTCCATCGGTAAACTTTTCACATTTTCAGCTTCTTCTCAAGAACCACCTGGCTAGTTTCAACCAAACTTGCCACAAAGCATCCTTGGGTTGTTCAGATGAAAGGCCATGTCCTCTTTCAAGGGGAAATAATTTAAGGGAAAATTTAATGGCATCTTTTAGCTTTTTCAAGAACCACTAGGCCCGAAAAAAAGAAACTTATATGAAAGCTTCATTACATAGCGTAGATTCAAGTTTCTTCAAATCATGACCCCTCGGGGAAGGATGGGGCCACAATGACGGATAAAAGTTTTACACTTAGGAATATTTTAGTTAAAATCATCTTCTAAAGAACAGGAAAACCATGACCTAGTAATATTAATATGCAAGCTTCCTCAGGTAGTGAAGATTCAAGTTGTTTAGATAATTGCCTCTGGGGTTAGTGTGGGTTAAAGTTCTAAAGAAAAGGAAGGCCAAGGTGACTCAGGTGAGCATTGTGGCCCTGAGCCTTTTGACGTCTGTTGTCATGTGTTAACATCTGAACATTTTCAGCTTCTTTGAACCAATGAACCAATATCATTTAATTTTTTGTGTAAAGCATATATGGGCAAAGGGGAACCAACATTGTGAATTTCATGGTCTCAGCCCCCTGGTTGGCCAAAACCATCAAAATTAATTGCAATCTTCAAAAATCTTCACTCCTGGACATCAAGCAGTATAAAACTGTTTGCATTATCATAATAGGCATTGAACTCTCTACCAAAATTGTGAAATTCATGACCCCAAGGTCAAGGGTTCTGGTGTTAGGGTAAGACTCTAATAGATCATAATATAGTAAAAAAAAAATCTCCAAAATTCTTCTTTTGCTCCTTGGTATTTACCACACAATCTAAGTGCATGATTTGGATGAGCAAGAATGCTTCTTCCAAAACTATGAAAATCATGACACCTGGGCAAGGGTTCTGATGTTTGGACAAGGCTCTATAGATCATATACTAGTATAGAAAATGAAATGCATATCTCTTCCTCTGTATATTTAGCAGATAGACAAGTGCATAAATA